CCCCCACAAAAAAAAAAAAAAAAAAGAAAAAAAAAAAAAAAAAAAAATGTTTTGCAATTTTTAATTTTGGATAAGGACACACGTGTAATACCTTAATCAATAAAGGAAAAAAAAGCTGGGAGATCGCATGCGAAAACGGGACCGCGAGCTTTTGCAGAAAAACGGGGGGATTGGGGTCCGACCACCGGGGTCGGCCCCGGCAGGGAATGAATGGCCTGCAGGCCACGCGTACGGCCCCTCGGTTCACGAACTGCAGCTCCCGCCAAGCCCAGAACGTTCCCTCGGGACCCCACACCCTCCCAGGCCACGAGCCGCATCAGGCAGCGACCCCCCGCGCTCCCCGGGGCCCGGCTGCAGGGTGGGGGTGGGGGGGACCACGCAGACCCCGAATCCCCAGCCCAAAACGTGGGGACGCGCAGACCACCCCCGCCGCGGGGACCAGCAGGAACCCACCCAAAGCCTCTGCACGGCCCGCTCCGTTCACTCCTCGGGCAGCCGGGTCGGGGCTCCGAAACCCGGCCCCAGCGCCGCTGACTCCCGGGGTCCCGGCACTAGAGCGGGGCGCCGCCGCGCTGCACGGACCAACCTTTCAATTTGCGCGGGATGGCCCGCGGCCCGCCCAGCGGAAGTGACGTCACGCATCTCCGCGACGCCGGAAGGGCGTCCTGCCCGGAAGCGACCGTGGTCCCGTAGCCCTGCGACTCCGGGTGCCGCTGCCCGCCGGAAGCCCGTGCAGCCTGTGGAAGGGGCGGGAAGAGCTGAGCTGATTGGCCAACATGGAATGGCGCCAGGGAGTGGAGAATTGTTTCTCGCGCGGGGGCCGCTGGGAGTTGTAGTTCTCTCCCGACCGCAGCCTAGTTGAGAGCTGCTGAAGTTCTAACCGCCTCCGCGTGTCTTTGTTGTTTTTAAAACCTAAAAATGGGCTCCAGGGAAACAGGAGGTGCAGCTGAGCTCTCAGAGGCTTTAGGAAGGGACAGAGGTGACGCTTGGTAAGCAATTTAACTAAGAAGGGACAAAGGTTCTCTCTTTACTGGCCAGGCTCCTCTAAGCCCTCTTCATTCTCAACTAGGCTGCAACCTTGGACTACATAGATCTGAAAACCCACAAACATAGTTTTGTTTTGGTTATTTTTAATGTATTTTTTTATTGATTACAGAAAGGAAGGGACAGGGAGAAACATCAATGATGAGAGAGAATCATTGATCAGCTGCCTCCTGCCCGCTCCACAATGGGGATGGAGCCCACACCTGGGCATGTGCCCTGATGGGGAATTGAACCAGCAACCTCCTGGGTCATAGGTCCAAGATCAACCACAGCCACGCCAACCGGGCTGGGTCACACCTAATCTGACTAACCTGCCAATTGCTCTTCAGATAGGAATTCCAGTATAAATTCCTACCGGCCGTGGATAAGGGTTCCTAAATCCATATATTTTTTCCTACACGTCCCGGTCACTCTAACACAGTGGATCTCAACCTGTAGCAAAATTAGTTATGAAGTAGCAACAAAATAATTTTATGGTTGGGGGTCACCACAACAGGAGGAACTGTATTAAAGGGTCGCGGCATTAGGAAGGTTGAGAACCACTGCTCTAACATGTAACAGTGAGAAGTTATTGTTTCCATTTGCATTTCTCTGATTGCTAATGACTGCGAGTATTGAGTATTGCTTTCTAGGTTTCCTGTTGTATATATAACCTAATCATAACTTTCACCCATTTTTGTATGTTTCCTGTTTTTTTTTCTTGGAGGTTTTCAAATCTCTTGTACACTTTGCTCTATTTTTATGCCCTGTTTGTGAGAAGTGTTTTCTCTAGTTACTTTACTTGTGCTTATGATGTTTTATACATTTTTAAGTTTTAAATTTAGTAGGTAGTCAATTATCCTAATATTATTATCTGATTTCATCGAAAACAATTATGATATCTGGCAAATTAACTGGTGTCTTTCTTTTCTTCTGCATTAGTAATCTCTCTGCTTTCCCCAAATACATTCTTCCCAGAATGTCAGCCAGTTGTTCAAAAACTGTGTTGTCTCTTTTGATCCACTAGAGGGCAACACTTGCTTGAAAGAAACTGCTGTCCCTTCCTATACACTGCAGCGGTTCTCAACCTGTGGGTCGCGACCCCTTTGGGGGTCGAATGACCCTTTCACAGGGGTCGCCTAAGACTGTCAGAAAACACATATATAATTACATATTGTTTTTGTGATTAATCACTATGCTTTAATTATGTTCAATTTGTAGCAATGAAAATACATCCTGCATATCAGGTATTTACGATTCATAACAGTAGCAAAATGACAGTTATGAAGTAGCAACGAAAATAATTTTATGGTTGGGGGTCACCACAACATGAGGAACTGTATTAAAGGGTCACGGCATTAGGAAGGTTGAGAACCACTGCTATACAGTAAATCATGCCCTTTTCTCTGAAAGAGAGGAAACTGGCTGAAATAAGCCTTACAGAAAATAACTAATTTCCACTTACATAACTGGAAATCACATAGAGCAGTTTGGACAAAATGTAAAAGCTATTTTTTTAAATATAACAAGTTATATAATAAGGATTCAAGGATGTTTTTAAGTGGGAAAAAAAAGAAAAAGACAAACCAGTTAAATTTATTTTACATGACTTAATTAACATCTCATTTATTATTGATCAAATTTAGATGCATTTTTATTTTTCACATGAGTCCCCATTGGTGAAATGAATCATTTGGTCAAAGTAACAAAATCAATGAGTTAAAAGAATTAGTAAGTGATAACCCTTAGGAAGATCAGATAATTATTCAAGTTCTACTTATCTCGAGTAATTTCTAGACTAAATGAAAATACCTTCTGACTTTACCTAAGAAAGTCTGAACATTTTCTTCCATATGACAGTTCCCTAACGAGAAAAGACAAAGAGCCCTTTGCCATGCAAGTGCCCAAGTAGATGCCATCGCTGAGCCAGAAAGCAGGTTCTTACCAGACGCCGAAGCTACTGGTGTTGTAGGCGGTTACACAGACAGGAAGGTGAGCCAGGTCAGAAGGACATCAGGGTGGAAAGCCATCGGTGCCTAGCAACGGGCAATCCATGGTAGGGTGGGATTCGCCCCAGGGTGACTTTTACCCCCTTGCATATCGCTGGTCTTGGGGTTTGGCCCCCCCGACCTTTCCTCCCGAGAGATAACCTCTAGGCCTCAGCTGTATTTCAGCTCCAGGCCCAGATGAGCAACAAAACCCGCCACTGCTGAAGGCTGACGTTAGGACCAGCTGAATGGAATGATGAATCCCTGCCCTGGTGCCGCCAATCAATCAGTGGAACTCACCCCGGTGAAAGGACACCCGGAAAGCTGCTGAATGATCTATGGATTCCTTCCCTGGCCAACCAATAAACTCTCCACCTTAAAGCCCTTAGGAAGGAGGACCCAGTGCCTTTCCCGGGTTCTTCCTATCCCCTCCCTGCCCCGGGCTCGTCACCATTAGCTTCCTCTCTCCCAAGCTCCAAGGGCCCTTCCTTTACCTCTACGACCTGTTTCCTAAGCCCATTGCTTCTCGGAATCTACCTCTGTGATTCACCCAATAAATGTTCTCTTACAAAAAAAAAGAAAAAGCTAGAAGGTTGACTGGTACATTTTTCCTTTTAATAACAATTCTTTTGTATGCCACAGCAAAATAATTGTCTCTTTTGAGTTTTTATTTCTATTGTTGAGAGTATTACAGATGTCCCCCCATTGCCCTCCTCCACCCGATCCCACTCCGCCCTAGGCCTTCCCAGTCCTATTGTCTGTGTTCCCGGGCAATGCAGATATGCATATAAATTCTTCGGTTAATCTTTCCAGCTTCCTCCTACCCCCTCCTCCTTGAGATTCCTCAGTCTGTTCTATGTTTCCATGCCCCTGGTTCTATTTTATTCATCAGTTTATTTTGTTCATTCGATTCGTTGTTCATTTATTTTGATGTTTAGATTTGATTGTTGATGGATACGTATTTATTGCCATCTTATTGTTTATATTTCTGATCTTTTTTATCTCTTAACGTGTACCGTAGGATAATAATTCTGGCTAGGAGTTAGGTTGAACAATGGGGAAGGTGGAAAGGTAATAACTAGGGCCATATTATTTTACTTATGCTATTGATTTTCCCTATTTCCTTTGTCATTTTGCCGACAGTACACAAGAAACACTGCCAGTTTCTTAAGTGCATTTCAATGGGTGAAAGATGTTGGCCGCCTGGCTGCTGGCAGCTTGCTTGGCGTTCAGAGCTGAGGCCACCTGCGCTCCATGAATGAGCTTCTCCAGGAGTCAGCGGGTCTGAGGGTACAGAGAGGGTGACAAGTGTATGAGGGACCTTCACTTTCATCCTGAAATAAAGCCCGACCTCTGCTTCAGGCCGTGCTTTCGTGCAGCTCGGCCATGGCAGCCAGCTCTCATTTTTCTCTTATTTGGGGATGACTGGGAAGAAGAAAGGCGACAGGTTGATCTGTGGGACTAAATTCCTCTTCAGACTTTTCCTCCGCTGCATCTGTGAAATAAAGGACATGTCGGTTAAGAACTAGCCTTGCAAGACAAACATAATTTGCTAGAGTCAAGTTGCACCACTAATTTAAAAAAAAATCTATTTTTATTGATTTCAGAGGGGAAGGGAGAGGGAGAGAGAGAAACATCAATGATGAGAGAGGTCCACTGATCGAATGCCTCCTGCACATCCCCTACTCGGGATCGAGCTCACAACATGGGAATTGAACTGTGACCTCCTAGTTCGTAGGTCAATGCTCAACTATTGAGCTACGTGGCCAGGCTGCACCACTAAGTTTTGCAGAGATTTTCATCCTCCTAGAAAGAAAGTCTATTTATTCACTTACCTATCCTGGGTGCCTCCAGGGTAAAATGTTTAAAAACAGAAGGGGGCGCTACCGAAGGGTGAAGGGCATGGGTGGAAGAGCAGACCCTTTAGAAATAGTTGACTGGGCAGTTATTCATTCTGTCACTCAACTGCCCAAACTGTAAAGGATTGGTTAAAACGAAACAGAGCAAAGAAGCTTGCTACGGCTGAGATACAGCAGAGAGATACTGCATAATAATATCGCCAGCGTCCAGTGACTTACAGAAAAATAAAATCCAGTGATGATCCCACAAATGAGAAAGGAAAGTTCGTTTTGGTTGGAATTGGGTATGTTTGGAAGTTATACATATAAAATGTTGAACTCATTAAAAAATCACAGCAAGAAGTGTCTAATATTGTCAATCATGTTCAGCCAATATTTAAAGCAAACATCAATTTGATTGTATGGTCCATAATGGGGAAGAAGAGAGAGAGAAGGCAGAGAGAAGAGCAGATGTAGAGAGTTCCAACGTAAAAGAAAAAGACTGAGGGAGCCCCAAGGTCAACATTTAACTACCTGCAGCCTGGGCGTGGATACTCACGGGTCACGTGACTGCTCCTCCTTTCCCCTAAGACCAGGTGGGAGACTTTGTTCCCCAGATCAATCTGCTAACGGCTGAGGCAGCTTCCTAAGCTTCACTGGTCTTTCTTTCTTTAGTTTTCTACATATTTAATACCAGATGAGGTAAAGCAATGCACATATGGGGCATAAAATAAACCAATTATAAAACTCTAAACACTCTTTTGATTTACCTGTTAGTTTTGGATTATTTATACCACTGTGTTTTATCCATCACTTAACAAATTAAAAGGAACTGATATAGCCCTAGCCAGTTGGCTCAGTGGATAGAGCGTCAGCCTGCAGACTGAAGGGTCCCAGGTTCCATTCCGGTCAAGGGCACATGTCCGGGTTGTGGGCTCAATCCCCAGTAAGGAGTGTGCAGGAGGCAGCTGATCAATGATTCTCTCTCATCATTGATGCTTCTATCTCTCCCTCTCCCTTCCTCTCTGAAATCAATAAAAATATACTAGTATTAAAAAAAAAGAAAAGTTGATTTGCCTTTGTTAAAAAAAAAAGTAAATAATTTTTATAACAAAAACTCTTCTTTTGCCAAAAATTCTTACTCAAACAATTGGTAGAATTGTTGATAATTCATATTTTCTTCATTAAGGGCACAAGCTAACAAAATTATGGTCAAGTTTTCTATATTAAACTAGAGGCCTGGTGCACAGATTTATGCACTGGTGGGGTCCCTCGGCCTGGCCTGTAGGGATCAGGCGGAAACTGGCTCTCTGACATCCCCTGAGGGGTCCCAGATTGCAAGAGGTCACAGGCCAGGCCAAGGGACACCACCAGTGCATGAATCCATGCACAGGGCCTCTAGTATGCATATAAGATCTTTGGTTAATCTCTTCCCTCTGAGATTCATCAGTCTGTTCCATTTTCATGCCTGTGGTTTCCGCTCCTGCGTTGAGTGTCTTCCCCCTGGTGGTCAGTGCTCGTCATAGCTACCAGCCGGTCAGCCAGTAGCTTAGGCTTTTATATATATAGATAAAGCAGCTTTTTGTTGTTGTAGTTGTGTGTGTTACCTGTTATTCATTTAGGTGCAGATGATACCAATCCAAACGGAAATGGGATGGACCATGGAATCCCAAGTGCTAACTTACTCTTTCATGTTGAACATGACCTGCCTTCTTCTTTCCTGGAACGCCGTCAGAAGACTCCTTTATGACCTCTGAGCCAATGAGCGGAAGGAATTTCAGACTCGTGGGGCTTGGTACCTGCGAGCCACAAGTGAAGAGTGAGACATACTCAAGTGATTACTTCCGTAATGTGAATTCAGGGGTGGGGGATAGGGAGTGAGAAGTTCCAACTGCTTTAAAATATACTCCCCTTCACAGTTGCCCACTATTAACTCTTTTTTTTATTTTATTTTTAATTAATTCTCACCCGAGGGTATTTGCCCATTGATTTTTAGAGAGAGTGGAAGGAAAGGGGAAGAGGAGAAAGAGAGAGAGAGAGAGAGAGAGAGAGAGAGAGAGAGAGAGAGAGAAACAAACATTGATGTGAGAGAGACACATTGATTGGTTGCTTTCCACACGTGTCCTGACCAGGATTGGGGATCAAGCCTGCAATGGAGGTACATGCTCTTGACTGAGATAAAACCCAGGACCCTTCAGTCCGAAGGCTGATGCTCTATCCACTGAGACAAACCGGCTAGGCCCCCACTATTAATTCTTAATAGTTCACCCTCAGCAACCTGCAGCTTAAGAGTTTGATACTCATCACAATGAAGGCGTTTTGGGCAAGGAGGGGTAACATTTTAAGAAATAATAAGTTAGAATTAAGTTGAAATATCTTATCTTCATGTTATTACCCTCGGTTAACCGATTGGTTCTTTAATTTGACAGAGGTGATCTGGAATGGAGACCTGAAGGATGAGGGGGGATTTGGAGGGAAACCAGAGGTGGATGAATTCTGGGCAGGGGGGCAGCACAGGCAAAGTCCCTGAGGCGGGAGGAATGCTGATGCGTAAGGAGCAGCGAGTAGTCTGGCTCAGCTGGAGGATAGGGGTCATGGGAGAAGGTGGTGGAAATGACGGCACACCGGTCAGGTGGGGGCCAGAGCGTGACAGGTGTGTGTGCCAGGCTAAAGGGTAACGCAGAGCTGGGATAAAGTTCAAAGCTGTTCCCTGTGGTGTTGTTCCATGGGGAAGGCAGAGGCAGGTGATCAAGGCTGCTGCCACACAGACCGAAGGCCTCCCGGGGTCGGACACAGCCGGGTAATGGAGACAGCAGCCAGCCCGGTGATGTGGATTTTCCCCGACCTGGCTTGGGAGCCCAGGGTCGGGAATGAGATGTGAGATTCCCTATTGGCCCGTCACCACTCCGGTCCTGGAAGCATTCAACTCACCCTGTATATGGGCAGAGAACCAAAAACAATCCCCGCCTCTCTGTTTTCAGTCAAGAAACTTTCCAAGGCATGCTTTCGAATCTGCAAAACAGAGGAGCGGATGTTTCATGAAAAGGGTACATTCCGTAAGCGGCAAAATTCCTGGGTTCAAATTGACTCTGCCACTTCTTAGCTGCAGGGCCTTAAGCAAGCTTTTGCCGTTCTCCTAAAAATTTATTTCTTATTGATTTCAGAGAGGAAAGGAGAGGGAGAGAGAGATAGAAACATCAATGATGAGAGAGAATCATTGATTGGCTGCCTCCTGCACGCCCCACACTGGGGATCAAGCCCACAACTGGGGCCTGTGCCCTGACCAGGAATCACACCATGACCTCCTGGTTCACAGATTGACGCTCAACCACTGAGTCACACTGGCCGGGCCCAGGTCTGACTTCTGACGTACAGAACAGTCAAGTGATTAATGTGTTGTTTAAACCACTTAGTTTGTAGTAATCTGTCATAGCAGCAATAGCAACCTGATACACTGTACATATGATAATTCAGGAAAGCTACAGTATTCTTGTTGGATGTTTAAGAATTACCTTGGGAGAAGAAAGAGACTTGAAAAACTTAAAATCATGCTCCACTTTAAAGGGCTTAGAAGGCGTCCGTTTGAAAAGCAAAGCCATGGAGCTCAGTCTCTGCCACCTGCACAGGAGGATATAAGAAAAGCTGTTACGCACCTATCCACACCTTTCCCCTCTGGGTCCCAAGCCCTCCGGCTCCCATGGCACCAGCCCTAACGATGCCATGTACGTAAGTCTTATTCCCTTTGGCTTCCCAGATCTCTCTCCAGGTGAACGAAAGAGATTTCTACTAGGCCTGAGCATTCCGTGCTGTTAAATTCATTATATAGCCATTGGGAAAAACACTGCATAGTAGGGATGAGGAAGCCTTGGGTACCAACCCGATGCTTGATATTTGGGTGACTCAGGGAAGCTTCTACTTAGTTAAAACTTACTTTTGCATATGTTTCAAAAGCCATAACTAAGCATTGAAAACATCCTATGTAATAAAAGGCTAATATGCAAATAGACTGAACGGCGGAACGACCGGTTGCTATGATGCGCACTGACCACCAGGGGGCAGACACTCAACACAGGAGCTGCTCCCTGGTGGTCAGTGTGCTCCCACAGGGGGAGTGTCGCTGAGCCAGAAGCCGGGCTCATGACTGGCGAGCGCAGTGGCAGGAGCCTCTCCCTCCTCTGCGGCAGCGCTAAGGGCTCCTCAGCAGACGTCCCTCGAGGGGTCCTGGACTGTGAGAGGGCACAGGCCAGGCTGAGGGGCCCTTCACCAGTGCATGAATGTCATGCACCGGGCCTCTAGTTTAAAAAATCATATCCCACAGGCATCTTAGACTTCAGCCCGTCCAAAACCAAACTCAGTATCTTTTTTTCCCAGTTTTATTTTGTGTTGGTTTCAGGCATACTGCTTAGTGGTTAGACAATCATATACACGATCTTTTTTCTCCAGACCTGCTTTTCCTCTTGTACATTCTGTCACAGTGATGTCAGTAAAGTTGAAAATCTTTATGTTGGCCATAACTAAAGCTCATTTTGCTTTAGTCTTTATATGCCCCACGTGGTTGAGCCTCCACCTATGAATCAGAAGGTCACGATTCCTGGTCAGGCCACATGCCTGGGTTGCGGGCTCGGTCCTCAGGGTGGGGCCTGCAGGAGGTGGCCGATCAATCCTCATCTTTGATGTTTCTATCTCTCTGTCTCCCTCTCCCTTCCTCTCTGAAATCTATAGACTTTTCTTGCTTTATCTTCTACCATGTCTTCTCTAATTGCTCCCTGAACTTTAATGACTATATAATAGTATTTCATCATTTTGTGCCTTTGCTTAGGCAATTGCCTCTTTGGTCTTCTTTATTTGGATAAATCTTATTTGCTCCTCTTTGATTATCTTAGGAATTGATATTCTTAGCAGTACTATTATACTGAACTAGAGGCCCAGTGCACGAAATTTGTACACTGGTGGGGTCCCTAGCGGCTACTGGCTGTCGGCTGGGTACTCCCTCCCTTCCCCTGGCCGGCCCCGACCCCTGGTTGAACTCCCGGAGGACCTCCTGGTCGAGGGGACAATTTGCATACTACGCTTTTATTATATAGGATTGTAAATCTTTGTGCACCCTCCCACTGGATTGCAAAATAATTGAAAAGTTTTGAGTTTTTTGCCTTTGAATTTTTCATGTCCAGCACAGTGTTATGGTATCATAATAGTTTTATTATTATTATTATTATTATTTCTAAATTAGCAATAATCACACCTTGGATAAACCTCATTGGCTACGATACTGCAACTGTGCAAAGCTGATAACAGCTTAATTCTTGTCTGGTCTCTAAAGGAAACCCAACGGCCTTACCTTTGCCGGTCAAATACCAGAGGATAGTCATATTTTTGTTTATTTTCTGTGAACTTGCTCTCTTCTTTTATTTCTATGGGGTACTCATTAACATCACACGGCAAAATGAAATCGGTTGTCTGTGCTAGGTCAAAGGACCTTCGCTGTCCAAAATACCCACAGTAATGACCATTGAGGGCATGCCAGAGCCTAAGAAAAGGCAAAAGATAGGGAGGATACAGTCACTGGGATTCAGTGGAAGTTATTTTGTTAACGACAAGGTTTTTTTGTTGTTTTATTTTTAAAAAAATATATTTTATTGATTTTCTTTTTTTTTACAGAGAGGAAGGGAGAGGGATAGAGAGTCAGAAACATCGATGAGAGAGAAACGTCGATCAGCTGCCTCCTGCACACTCCCCACTGGGGATGTGCCCGCAACCAAGGTACATGCCTTTGACCAGAATCGAACCTGGGACCCTTGAGTCCGCAGGCCGACACTCTATCCACTGAGCCAAACTGGTCAGGGCTAACGACAAGGTTTTCATTATGGATTTTAAACTTGAGTCCAGAACTCTTTTCATTAAATATATGGATCTAATCATAACGTAAACATTTTTATTAGCTAGAATTCTAATCTACAACAATTTCAGAAAATGTCAATTTGAATTTGGACTGATGATATCCATTCATTGAAGCCAGAAAATAAGGAACAGGTTTTTCTCCAAGTAACACTGCTCGTTTAAGCTAATCAGAGCTCACACTGACTTTGGTTTTTTTTCTCTCAGGATTGCTTTGGCTTATTGGGGTTTTTTATGGTATCATACTACAAATTTAGGATGTTTTGTCCTATTTTGTTCTAAAATAACTTTGGTATTTTGATAGGGATTGCCTGGAGTCTGTAGATTGCTTTAGGCAATACGCACATTTTAATAATGTGAATTGTTCCAATCCATGAACACAAATCTCTTCAATTTCAAAAATGTCTTATAGTTTTCAGTGTATAGGCCTTTCCTGCCTTTCCTCTCCTTTGTAAGTTTATTTCTAGGCATTTTATTCTTTTCATTGTGATCATAAGAGGGATTGCTTTTTTTCTTTTTTCTTTCAGAGATAGTTCATTGTTAGTATTTAGAAACACAACAAACAATTTCTGTATATTGATTTTGTATCCTGTAACTTCATTATATTCATTTATCATTATTTTGTGTGTGTTGTGTGTGTGTGTTTTTTTGCTGGAATCTTTAGGTTCTTCTCTATATAACTAATATGTGTTGTGCAAACACTGACAGTTTGACTTCATTTAGTTAATGTGGTGTTTCCCGTGGATTGATTTTCTCATGTCGAGCCTTCCTTGCATGCCCGGGATGAATCCCACTGGGTTGTGGTGTAAGATCCCTACAATGTGTTGCTGTATTTGGTTTGCTAATATTTTTTTGAGGATTTTTACATCTAGGTTCATCAGCGATATCAGCCTGTCATACCAGCCTGTCATTTCATTTGTTGATGTTATCCTTACCTGGGTTTGGCACCAGGGTCAGATTGGCCGTGCACAATGAGCTTTCTGGAAGAGTTGGAAAGGGGCAGGTATTAAATCTGCTTGGAATGTTTGGTAGAATTTACCAGGGAAGCCTAGTGTTTTGTTTTTTGGGGAGGTTTTGATTACTGTTTTAATTTCTTTACTATCAGTCCATTCAGGTTTATCAGTCCATTCAGGTTTCCTAATTCTTCATGATTTATGGGCCCAGCACGCTTCCGCTCTTCATGATTTAATCGAAGAAAGTTTTATTATTCTAAAATTTTGTCCACTCCTAGGCTGTCTGATTTAGTGGCATGTAGCCATTCATAATGCTCTTTCATAATCCTCTGTATTTCTGTGGTAACAGTTGTAAATTCTTTTATTTATTTTAAACTCGCTAATATACTTTGAAGCCTCTCTTACCTAAATTTATTCTCTTAAGAGGACAATTCATCACCATAATTTTAAGACATTTTAACATGTGACAACTTGTCTCAATAAATGTCATGACATTTAATACATATATATTTGTGTTTTTAGAATTTTATGTATGTATATGTAGCATTATTTAGGCAATTAAAAACAAGTAGGCCTTATATATTATGGTGACTATAGTTAACAATACTATATTGTATATTTGAAAGTTGCTAAGAGAATAGATCTTCAAAGTCCTCATCATAAGAAAAACATTTTTTATAACTATTTGTGGTCATGGATGTTAAGGAGACTTGATGTTAACTAGACTTATTGTGGTGATCATTTTACAATATATACAAATATTGAATCATTTACTAATGTTATATGCAAATTATACCGTAATAAAAGAAGGCCCAATTGGCATGGCTCAGTAGTTGAGCATTGACCTATGAATCAGGAGGTCACGGTTTGATTCCTGGTCAGGGCTTGCAGGCTTGATCCCCTGTGTGGGGCTTTCAGGAGGCAGCCAATCAATGATTCTCTCTCATCATTGATGTTTCTATCTTCCTCTCCCTCTCCCTCGCTCTCTGAAATCAATAAAAAATATATTTTAAAAAAAGAAAAAAAAGAAACATCAATGATGAGAGAGAATCATTTTTGGTTGCCTCCTGCATGCCCCCCATTGGGGATCGAGCCCACAGCCCTGGCATGTGCCCTGACTGGGAATCAAACCATGAGCCATGCTGGCTGGGCTCTGTGACTTCTTACTGACTTCCGATTCTGTGTCTCTTCCTGTGGTCTCCCTGGGCTTGGGCTTACCTCTCTGAGGTATCCATCTTGCTTAATTCTTTGAAATAAGTCTATAAAAAACCTACTTATTAAAAGTACTTATTATACATTCGAACACAGATGAGCAAGGCATCTCATTTCCTTAGTCCTGCAAAGGAATTCCAAACCAATAGCCCTCTCCCCAAGGCCGTTTTGTGTGCCACCTTTAGTTATTTGTTTATTTATTTCAGTCAGTTAAGCATGATTGCGTTTAGGTTTATGTACTTCTACTGTAGCTTAATATCCTTTTCCTCTCATACTCAAAACCCTGAATTCATAGCACGAAAGTCCAGCCCTAGCTGGTTTGGATCAGTGGATAGAGCACTGACCTGTGGACTGAAGGGTCCCGGGTTTGATTCCAGTCAAGGGCACGAACCTTGGTTGTAGGCTAGATCCCTGGCCCTGGTCAGGATGCATGCGGGAGGCAACCCATCCATGTATCTCTCTCTCATCGATGTTTCTCTCTCTCTGTCTCTCCCCCTCCCTTCCACTCCCTAAAAATCAATGGAAAACTATCCTTGGGTGAGGATTAAAAACAACAACAGCCCTAACAGGTTTGGCTCAGTGGATAGAGCGTCGGCCTGCGGACTGAAGGGTCCCAGGTTCGATTCTGGTCAAGGGCATTTACCTCGGTTGTGGGCACATCCCCAGTAGGGGGTGTGCAGGAGGCAGCTGATGGATGTTCTCTCTCATCAATGTTTCTAACTCTCTATCCCTCTCCCTTCCTCTCTGTAAAAAAAATCAATAAAATATATTTAAACAACAACAACAGAGCATGGAAGTCCATACCTTACGGAGCCATCGACAGAGGCAGTCAGCACCAGTTGTTTGTCTTCTACGTAGATCGCTTGAACAATTTCTAAAGAATGAGCACGCCAGGCAAGCAGCTGCTTGAATTTCTAGACGGCAACGATAAAGCACATGTACCTTGGAATAAGTATGTGCTGATTAAAGTTCAAGCTTGAGCAAACTATTAATCATTAAAGAGCCCAGCTTAGGAGCTCTTAAAATATATTAACATAAATATTATATTAATTATATATAATATTAATATAAATATAAAAATATATTAATGGTGCGGGCATGTGTGGAAGGTGATGGCGCCCCTGCCTCAATGAGCTCTTCTTTTGGTTGGTAAGGTCTCAAAAATTCCATTTTTAGCCTGGCTGGTGTGGCTCAGTGGTTAAGTATCGACCTATGAACCAGGAGGTCATGGTTCGATTCTCGGTCAGGGCACATGCCCGGGTTGTGGGCTTGATTCCCATTGGGGGGCATGCAGGAGGCAGCCATTTGTTGTCTCTCTCTCATTGATGTTTCTACCTCTCTCTCTCTCTCTCTCTCTCACTTCTCTCGGAAATAAAAAAATATATATTTTTTTAAATTCAATTTTTAGATGTTTGATAATCTATACAGATCTCTGGGACAGAAAGTACCTTATGTCTTTAGAAATTTATCATTTAATTGAGGATTAGCAATTCATTTAGTTGAAAATTACTAAATGACTTGATGGAAGAACAGAATAGCCTTAGGATAAAGGCTGTGAGGGAACTCAGAGCGAATATACTCAGGAGCAGGAGCAAGCAGAGTTGAAAGGTGAAGACTGAAGGAGAGAGTGACAAAAAGACTTTTCCTATTTTAAAACTTTATCCAGGTATATTTTGTTATTTTTGTTGGTGGTGTGTGTGTGTGTGTGGGGGGGGACTATATATAATAACTCTAAAACACAAGGAATTAACAAAAGAAACGGGCCTAGCTCATTCTCTTTCAAAGACATCCTGATGTTTGACTGGTAAGTTCCTTCAGGACGTGGCTTATTCTCAACTCTAGGAGCTCCTACACAGGCCACAGAAGACATTGCTTAATTGTTGAACTAGAGTGTCAATTGCAGAGACTGCTCTGCAGTCACATTCCCATAGAGCAGCGGTTCTCAACCTGTGGGTCGCGACCCCTTTGGGGAGTCGAACGACCCTTTCACAGGGGTCGCCTAAGACCATCGGAAAACACATATATAATTACATATTGTTTTTGTGATTAATCACTATGCTTTAATTATGTTCAATTTGTAACAATGAAAATACATCCTGCATATCAGATATTTACATTACGATTCATAACAGTAGCAAAATTACAGTGATGAAGTAGCAACGAAAATAATTTTATGGTTGGGGGTCACCACAACATGAGGAACTGTATTAAAGGGTCGCGGCATTAGGAAGCTTGAGAACCACTGCCATAGAGTGTCCATGAAGATATAAAAGATATAAAAACTGCCTGTGGAAGGCTAAATGATAGATAAGCTCTTTTAAGCTCTGGGTTTCTCCATAGATTCTCACAAATAAGTCAAAACATGATTTCCAGGCAGCCAATCAATGATTCTCTCTCATCATTGATGTTTCTATCTATCTCTCCCTCGTCCTTCCTCTCTGAAATCAATAAAAATATATTTAAAAAACAAAATTAAAAAAACACCACATGAAGTAGGTGGGAAATGACGAGTGGCTGGCTGGCTTGCTCGCTCGCTCACTCACTCACCCCCTCCTTTCCCCAATAGACCAGTGTTACTTGTCATGTGGCTTAAGTTCCCTAGCAGTCTATATGACATGAGTAGGGAGTCTTGGCTTGGAGATCTTTTGTGAAGTCTACCACAGAGAGGTGTCAATCCATATGCGCCGATTCACAAGTTAGACGAAGACTAAAGTCTTACCTTTTCATCATGAGGCGGATCCAGGAAGGAACTAACACTGCAAAGGATCACGTGTCCTTCTGTATAAAATGTGAACATCGCAATATGCAAATGAGTATTCTGTTGTCCAAGTCCATGCTACCTACACTGCCAAGGCATTTATAACAGTAAATAAAGTCGAATCTGAGGAGCCAGCAGTGAAAGAAGAAATTTCATATCAACTTTTATATGTGGCAATTCTTTTCTGTTTCTGGCTTAATAAGTCACAATGAGGTTGCCTTATATACTCAAAGTCAACGTTCTTCTAGACATCAGGGTAGATGAAAGAGAGATGAGTATACAATGACCAAATGAAGCCCAAATGGTTATGAAGATAATTGTCCTACAATCCAAATGATAGTTACAACAACTAGATTTTAAAAAAGCAACAATGACTACACCAAGGCACATCGTATTCAAACTGCAGAAACTCAAACCTAAAGAAAAAAGCTTGAAAGAAGCCACAGGTAAAAATTTCACCTTACTTATAGAGACGTAAAGAGAAAATTACATCTGACACCTGGAAACCATGTAAGCAAGAAGAGAATGGAGTGAAATATTTAAATGTTGAGGAAAAACCCCCACCAACCTAGAATTCTGTGTCCTTAGAAATTATTCTTCAAAAGGGAAGGAGAGCCCGGCCGGTGTGGCTCAGGGGTTGAGCATGGATGGACCTGGAGAGCATTATGCTAAGTGAAATAAGCCAGTTAGAGAAGGACAAGTACCATATGGTTTCACTCATATGTGGACTCTAATAAAATAAACAACCAAACAAAATGGAAATAGATACAGAGATAGAGAGCAGACTAACAACTGTCAGAGGGGAGGGGGGTTGCAAGGCTGGGTTAAAAAGGTGAAGAGATTAAGCAAGCAAGAAAGAAAAAAACTCAAATACAGATAATAGTATAGTGGTTACCAGAGGGGAAGTGGGTGGGGGGAGATGGTAGAAGAGGGTATGGGGGCAGGTGGGGATAAATGGTGATGGAAGGAGACTTGGGGTGGTGACCACACAATACAATATACAGTTGATGTATTATAGAATTGTACACCTGAAACCTATATAATTTATTAACCAATGCCACCCAAATAATAAATTCAATAAAAAATAAAACAAACAGAAAAACACCAAAAAGAATATCATTACATTAAAGAATTAAGATCAACTATATTAGTTATTAACAATAAGTATAAAATAGAGTCTCCTATTGAGAACCAATACTTCCTTTCCTCTCTGTTCATGCCACTTCTCCCTTTAATAATGAAGACTTAATGCAACACAACCCTTTCAAGGTTAAAAATGAAAACTTTGTATTCTCCCCAATAGGTAAGGTCAGGGTAGTCCTATACGCAACTTAAAGATGGAAGAAATAGAATGTCGTACTGTAAGGAAATAGGAATGAAATAGGTGTTCATATCATTGATTGTTCTGTCCATTCAGCAAGCTATCCTTGGCACTCTCAACACCTCTTCTCATTTTTGAGCATCGCTCTTATTCTTTTGTATGAATGATGCCACATATTTTCCTTTTTTATATCTTGTAGGTTAAGACAGCCAACTACATGAAGACAATGACTTACCTACGTTGCTGGTCAGTAGTATCCTGGAACAGGAATCAATGTTCAGTGATGTCAGAGAAATGGCAGAATGTTTTGTAAAAGGTAGCATGTCTTTCAGCAGCCGTCCCTGCATAAAGTATAATCACAGATTCTGTAAAATATTCATATGGGAGTTGAGTTTCTCTATAAGTAGTCTACCTAAAAAATTATCTCTACTACCAAAACACGATCCTATGTGTAGTAAAAGTAATTTGAAACTATCCATAGGAAATTAAATATTCATAAAGGTGTAGACAACTATTCATGATTGGCATCTGGACTCTGATTATTACAGATCATTTGGGGGTTGATTTTTGTACTTCTCCTGACCCTTATCATGCCATTCCTCAGATCTCTTTTCTAGTTATATATTATTTTAAACAAACATTCTTTACAGGTTTACGTGCATCTCACTTGTTTTATTTTATTATTATTATTTTTTAATCCTCAGCCGATATTTTTCCATTGATTTTATTTTTTTTAGAGAGAGTGGAAGAGAGAGGAAAAGACAGAGAGAAACATCCATGTGAGAGAAACACATCGATTGGTTGTCTCCTGTATGTGCCCTGATCAGGGCCCCTGACTGGAATGGAACCTGGGACCCTTCAGTCCACAGGCCAACACTCTATCCATTGAACCACACTGGCCAGGACTCTTCCTCATCCTTTTCTATGCCAGGTAAGTAGTGGGCATCGTCACCTCTATATTCCATAAGCGCAGGTGGCCGTCCTCGTGAGCGGTGACCAGGACAGGAGGCTGAGGTTCGGCCACACCGGTGCTTGCAACGTGTTTTTTGTCCACTGGCTGTTGCTCTCCCACAATGATATCCGTTTGCTCACCTACTGGAAAATTAATGAGCTGCCATGGTGCTGGCAACACTTGAAATTCAAAGTCTTCTAGAACGCGGGTAGAAAATACCCAAAACGACACATTCTTTTCCCTAGAATTTTTTTTTTTTAACCCAAGGGAGTTTCAATCAGGGCAGAGAACAACACGGCATTAGCAAATGGACTCCCATATCGCTGGAAAAACCTGAGAGCTTGCTTTTGGTCCTGTTGCATAGTCTCTTCACTGTACATAACCGCTAAAACCACGTAAACCTCCAGCTCAAGTCTTTCACATACAGAATGGCTTATGCATCTAGTATCAGTTTCAGAGGAGATTAAGAGGCACAGTTATAAATATAAAATAAAAGTGTAATATGCTAATTAGACCAGAAGTCCTTCCGGACGACCTTCCAGACAAAACTGGGGCTGCGAGGGAAGCCCGGGTCTCAGGTGCCAGAGGGAAGCTGGAGGGAAGCCCAGGTCCCAGGTGCCAGAGGAAAGCCGGTGCCGGCAGCTGGGGGAAGGAAGGCCTACTCTTGCATGAATTTCATGCATTGTATATATATTGATTTCAGAAAGGAAGGGAAAGGGAGAGAGAGATAGAAACATCAATGATGAGAGAGAATCATTGACCAGCTACCTCCTGCATGCCCCCCACTGGGGATCAAACCCACAACCTTGGCATATGACCTTGACCGGAATGGAACCCAGGACCCTTCAGTCCACAGGCCAACGCTCTATCCACTGAGCCAAACCGGCTAAGGCACAAAGAAATCATTTTAGAATAAGGGAGTGAGGTGACTTCATACTGACCTTTGCCCTCACCGTCATGTATGCTCTGCTTGCTACCCTGGATTAGGGGAGAAAAAGAAGGTATTTCTAAGACATTGTAAGGAAATGAGATACACTGGATCAGTAGACTCTTCAGATAGCTGATACATTGCTAAGCGTTAAAGTTATTTTTGGATTAATTCTTTGAAATACATATTGCAGAGATTTTCATGTTCCTGAATTGGGTTATCTGTGACACAACTTCCTCCTAGTGGCTCAGAGATAGCATAATAGCGAGAGTAATTAAATGCCCAATGCGTGCCCGTTCGTGGTGTACATTATTTTGCATTTTATTAACAACCATGCATGTGGATGTTATTATTTCCATTTGTTCATCATTTTCACTGATGAAGAAATGGAAACTCGGAGATTAAGGGCTGTCTCTAAAGCTAATCAGATAAATCAGAACACTTGGATTCAAGTTCAAGTGTATCTGACTCCTAATATTCTCATAAGTTTATTCTTTCCACCATGCTAGTGGTTTTTAATTAATTTTTGCAGTGAAAACTCCCCTTTAAACAAAGTCCTAACTAGAAGTGTTACATGTAAACATATGTAAAATTGTAACTGAAAACACAATTTGAAAGCCAAACATTACACAGTGTTGTCTCCTCCCCCTGTGAAATGTATGGAATGCGTTTAGCAAAACCGTCTAAAATTATTTTACCAATGAAAAAGTAGCATCTGTAATTTATTTTATTCATGATTATGTATTGATTATTTGAAGTAATGAAAGCCTTCAGAAATAGGGAAAAATGGATGAAATCAGTTTAGACATTGCTTTATAGAAAAACAAAAAAAACCTTTACATACATACACACACACAGAAATTTTTTTCCTCTTTACTTCTTAAGAATATTTTTTTTAGAGAGAGAGGAGGGGGCAGGGAGAGAGAGAAACATAGAGGTGAGAGCACAACATTCATTGACTGCCTTCTGATCCTGAGCCTGCAACCTTTAACTTGGAATCAAACCAGCAACCTTTCGGTGCACGGGACGACACCCAACCCACTGAGCCACCCCAGCCAGGGCCCCTTTACCTTCTATCGAAGGAAAGGCGAAAATGCAACCAACCCTGATTTTTGAACCAACACTGGGTGTAAAAGTTAGGACACACTCTCCCTATTTCTTGCTTACCTTGCTGCTCTGAGGACCCTTACTAGAGTCACATTGGGACGAAGAGCATACGGAATCCTGGCTTGTCTTCCTGTAAGGAGAGAGAAGAAGCCCAAAGAGGAAACATTGCCAAAACCGGTTTGGCTCAGTGGATAGAGCGTCAGCCTGTGGACTGGGAGGTCCCGGGTTCGATTCCGGCCAAGGGCATGTACCTGGGTTGCGGGCACGTCCCCAGTGGGAGATGTGCAGGAGGCGGCTGATCGATGTTTCTCTCTCATCGATGTTTCTAACTCTCTATCTCTCTCCCTTCCTCTCTGTGAAAAATCAATAAAATATATTTAAAAAAAAAAAAAAAAAAAAAAAAAAAAAGAGGAAACATTTAAGATTCTTTCATACTCAACAGGTGCTCTTCTCTGCTTTGATTTCAGTTCATTCTCTGATACTTCTTTCATCCTCTGTAGACACTGAGCCGCTCACGTATAAAACAAAGCACATCCCATATCTGTGTCACAAATGCTCTGTGCCTGGTGTTGGTGGAAACTGTTGGGGAGCCTCAGGAATTCAGGTTCATTGCTGCCTGGTCTGGGAACGAAACATCTGCCTGTCCCACGCCTCAGGCTAGATGCAGTCCCAGAGGTTCTGACACGGCGTCTAGTGGTGGGAGTGGGTGGGGGTAGGGGTGGGGCCCTGAGTAGCCTGGCTAACTTCTGCTCTACAGTTTCCGGTTCTGGCCTGGTCCACTCTGTGACACTGCTGGAATGGGCTGAACAGTGCCTTGGGGCCTGGTGCAAGCATATCCACAGCAAGTCCTCAAAATATTCTCAGAATAAGGAATTCCAAGCCAACGGAATATATTCTGGCTCACCTCTGGGTGACCCAAAACTCGCATAGAAACACTTTTTTAAAAAATATTTTTTTATTGATTTCAGAGAGGAAGGGAGAGAGAAATAGAAACATCAATGATGAGAATCATTGATTGGCTGCTTCCTGCACGCCCCCTACTGGGGTTTGAGCCTGAAACCTGGGCATGTGTCCTGACCTCCTAGTTCATAGGTCAATGCTCAACCACTGAGCCAAACTGGTCAGGTTAGCATAGAAACTTTTGACTTCTCTTCAGAGAGGTGTTTACCAAGGCCTACGGATGGAAAACCAGACCATAAAGCAAATATAAAGAGAAAAATACCTTCTCTTCAATATTTAAATAATGATCTCTCGCTCTCAGAAATGGATGATGATTGCTCAGTTTTATTGGAGGCCATATGAGACCTGCTGCCATTTGATCTGTCTGTGTCACATCCGTGCTCACAGAGTTTGATTTTGGCTACAAGTGTGGTCAAGGGAGCATTTCCCCTCTTTGCTACTGTTGTAAAGGGTGCTGTGGGTCGGACCAAGTGAAGGAAATTACATTCCCACACAGCAAATTGGATCCCCGGGGACCATCCACTACAAAAGCCAGTGACGGGGAAGGAAGCTGACACCAGGCAGTCTACCCAATTTGCCTTCCCTCACGTGTACCTTCCTTAAGGCTGGGATGGGGAGAACTCTTTGGATGTCGCCCACGTAAGACTCAGACAGCATTTCTCTATCAGTAAGTACCAAGTTACCTTGCACACTCAAGGGTACGAAAGAGGAACGTGATGTCGTTAACTCTATAGCGTTTGGGATCCAGGTCCGGATTGACAGTGAAGCAATCTTCAGGTCTGTACCTGGAAGGAAACATACGTGTACACGATAAACATGTAAGAATTAGGTAACTTACATGCCTTACATTACAAATCCCACGCAGAGCTCACCAACTCCTAAAATGTTGATCTCGAACATGAATAGAAAATCCAGAGGTATAGCATTTGAACATAACTTTTTTTAATAAGGCTCTGTGTAGCTACACAAACATTGAGAGTGTAAAAGTCCTTTAATTCAAGTGGCTGGTCTATTCTTCCTACTTGTAGGTCAGAGAGTGGGCTTCTGTAATATCCTAGAAGTTTCATAGGATTTAAAGGTTAGAATTCTAGCCCTAGCCGGTTTTGCTCAGTGGATAGAGCGTCAGCTTGCAGACTGAAGGGTCCCTGGTTCATTTCCGGTCAAGGGCACGTACCTTGGTTGCCGGCTCCTCCCTGGCCTGGGCCCTGGTCAGGGCACGTGCAGGAGGAAACCAATCAATGTGTTTTTCTCACATCGATATTTCTCTCTGTCTCTCCCTCTCTCTTCCACTCTCTCTAAAAAAAAAAAAAATCAATGGAAAAATATCCTCGCGTGAGGATATTTAAAAAAAGGTTATAATTCTACTCTTTGAACAAGTAGAGTGATAAATTTGAATAAAATATAGTATTGCCACCAGGGAACTTAGAACAGAGTGGAGAAGACAAGCAGGGAATTCAGTGATTATGCTGCTCTTGTTACTGGAGTCTCCCACTGACCCAGATTCCAAAGAATTGATCACCTTCCCAGGCAGTTTCCACTCGCACTTCATGTTCAGCTCTTTTTAAAAAATATATATTTTTATTGATTTCAGAAAGGAAGGGAGAGGGAGAGAAAGAAACAGCAATGATGAGAATCATTGATTGGCTACCTCCTGCATGACCTCCCACTCTGGGGATCAAGCCTGAAACCCAGGCATGTGCCCTGACCGAGAATTGAACCATGATCTCCTGGTTCATAGGTTGACGCTCAACCCCTGAGCCACACTGGCCGGGCCATGCTCAGCTCTTAAAGCCACACTTAACATTTCTTATAGCAAATGGACCTCAAAGCAAAATGTTCCTCTTCCTTTAATGCAGTGGTTCTCAACCTGTGGGTCACGACCCCTTTGGGGGTCGAAAGACCCTTTCACAGGGGTAGCCTAAGACCATCAGAAAACACATATATAATTACATATTGTTTTTGTGACTAATCACTATGCTTTAATTATGTTCAATTTGTAACAATGAAATTGGAGGTTACCACAACATGAGGAACTGTATTAAAGGGTCGTGGCATTAGGAAGGTTGAGAACCACTGCTTTAATGGAAATTGCCTCTGCTAATTGGATCTGTTGAGTGATGAAGGAAGCTCTTGAGGGGCTGGGGGAGGGTGAACCAAGCTCAAAAGAGGAGCCTGTGGGCTTGATGACTTGTTCAGCTCAAACTTTTTACACATTTCTGCTCTGCAGACTAGCTGAATGGTGGAATGGATTATTAATGAGCAAGAACAATTTCTAGTTTGGTCCCCAAAGAGCTTTGAACAGGAAGAGAAGAGCTGTTTCTTCCTGACTGGTGAAGGGATCTTAGGCCAAGTTTGAGGTAGAGGTAGAGATGGCCTCCGCCGTGAATATGGGTACCATATCTCGTGTCAGAGCCTTTAAAGCTGAGCCTAAATTACATTAGACATTGCTGTGCTAAATTATATGTTTTGCAAAAATACTCCACTGGTTCTAAATCGATTGTTTTTACATAATCATCTTTTCCTAAGGAGACACTGTAATTCTCTGATTAGATGTGGTGTTTGTATGCATCCCTTGGTGAAATGCCTAGCACTTCAACAAGGAGGAGCTCCACCTTTAAGCTGGACATGTTCTCAGGGCAGCTCCCCCCTCCTTGGGCTGTGGCATCAGGACTCTATGCCCTTTGTGTCTAGCTGATTTCCCTTGGTGGTGAGTCATGCACCATCCGACACTTATAGTGTGAGAACTGCATTAATAAAAGGGTGAGAAATTGTACAGTGCATATGCAAATGACAAGTAGACTGTGAGAAAAGCTTACGGGTGAGGGTTGAAGAGAAGGAACAGAAGGATGACAGAAATTTTAGGGGCCAGGACCTAGAGAACACGAGCTGGGGTACAGAGGGAGCGTTCTGCAGAAACATCTACTTCAACGAAAGGTTCAAAGGAGAATAAATCCAGGGCTAAACAAGAAAGATGCATGTTCTCTCAAAAGCTGGTTAAGCCCTAGCCAGTTTGGCTCAGTGGATAGAGGATTAGCCTGCGGACTGAAGGGTCCCAGGTTGATTCCAGTGAGGGCACATGCCCAGGTTGCAGGCTCGATCCCCAGTAGGGGGCGAGCAGGAGGCAGCCGATCAATGCTATGATTCTCTCTCATCATTGATGTTTCTAACTCTCTCTCCCTCTCTGAAATCAGTTTTTTAAAAAGTTGGTTAAAAGTAAAGACTCAGACTGAGATTGGGAAGGGCCACGGAGTCTGGGTAGACCAGTAGTATGTAATGCACTGTAAATAGAGAGGCAGAGATTTCTTTTGCATTTTCTTCTTTTTCCTTGTTCTCTCCCACTCTCTTCTTTCCTCCTTTTTACCTCTTCCCTTCCCCCAAATGCTCAGATAAATTTGACTTTCCTGTTATTCATTCATCAAGGTTCTTGACCACCTTGTACCTCAAAGTACAATATTACAGATTCCTTTGACCGAGGGTGTTCACACGTGGCCCTTGCTCTCTAGCCCAATTGCACAACTGTGGATTGCTTATTACTTGCAATCCATCCAGAGCAAATAGCACGGTTGTTCTATTGTTTCCTTTACAACCCATGGCAAGAACATTTAGAAATGGATGGCAGGGAGAAGGTGAAGTTTTTGACCATAGCATGAAGAAAATCTAATGGGTGGAGATTTGGAATTGCCAATGCCATGGCTTTGTTAGCACTGCTGTGTAATGAGTTAGATGTGTTGGGGGCGGTGAATGAGAAGGAAAAGCCATCCAGAATGCCTCTCACCATTTGACTTTGGTGGCTTGGTAGATGGTGTCACTGGGTATACAGGAAGAGGAGTTGTTTGGGGGAGGGGGAGGTTGAGCCAAAGTTTGGGGCATGTGGGACTTTAAGGTAATTGGGGCTTGGTCATTGCCAGATATGTATGTTTGAAGCTCTGGGGAGATTAGAGTTTAAATTTAGTGTGTATTTTCAGTATTTGTTGTTCAGGTTATGAATTTGGACAGGATAACACATGCAAGCATGTACTAGAGCAGTGATGGGGAACCTATGACACACGTGTCAGAGGTGACACGCGAACTCATTATTTTGGTTGATTTTTCTTTGTTAAATGGCATTTAAATATATAAAATAAGTATCAAAAATATACATCTTTGTTTTACTATGGTTGCAAATATCCAAAAATTTCTATATGTGACACGGCACCATAGTTAAGTTAGGGTTTTTCAAAATGCTGACACGCCGAGCTCAAAAGGTTCACCATCACTGTACTAGAGTGAGAAGAGTAAAAGTCAAAGCACTTGAGAACACAAATACTTAAGGCTCATCTTATTTATATTACTAGAGGCCAGTGCATGAGGTTCATGCACTCGTGGGGTCGCTCAGTCTGCCTGCACCCTCTCGCATTCTGGGAGCCCTCAGAGCGCTGTCGCCACCACTACTGCGCTCGCCAGCTGTGAGCCCGGCTATTGGCTGAGCAGAGCTCCCCCTGTGGGAGTGCACTGACCACCAGGGGGCAACTCCTGCATTGAGTGTCTGTCCCCTGGTGGTCAGTGCGCATCATAGCGACTGGTCATTCCGCCATTTGGTCGATTTGCATATTAGCCTTTTATTATATAGGATTCTGGGATTTAGACACTTACTACATAGTCTCCTCATGATCATGGCTCCAGGAATGCCTCCCTTGATAGTAACTACTACTTTTATTTATTGCTTTTGTTGATTTATTTGTTTTAGCATTGAATGTTATTTTGGCTCTTCTGTAGTACAACTTACATTATTTTAAAAAAAAGATGCAACTTACAATTCTTTGACAGTGGATGTTACAAAATTCCACAAGATGATCACACCATTTACGGTTCCAGCGGCTATCAAATTATATCCTTCTACTTGCAATATATCAATGCAGTTCACTTCTGAACTGACCGTAGGATTCTAAAGAAGGGAGGAAACCAACTCATTGACCGTCATGAACACAGTATCTAACCACAATACACATGCTGTGTGTACACTTTGTCATCTCATCATTAACTTAAAATGTCTTGTGATTTTTCAAAAAATTTACCGGAGTAGAGTTGGTATACAATATTATATTTGTTTCAGGTGTACGACATAGTGATTTGACATGTATATGCTTTACAATGTGATCACCATAAGTATGAAAACCATCTGTCATGCAAAGTTCTTACGATGTTATTGACTCTATTCTCTGAGCTGTACATTACATCTCCATGACTCATGTTATAGCTGAAATTAAGCGATAGTACATTGAAATTCATTGCATTATTTTCTCTACTTCTGTGTATGTTTGTAATGTTCCATAATAAAAGGGAAGAAAATCAAGAAATGAAACTTACAGGAACATCTTGAGGATGGGTTTTCTCAGCTATCAACGAAACATATGGGAAGGGAAGAGCCATGCTCCTGTCTTTAGTAGACGTTTTCAGACGCACAATATGATTACCGTCTTGTAGGACAGGTATGACATCAGGCAGCTCCCATATCACAATGAGACAAATATCATTTTCTTTACCCTTTAATAGAAACCCAGTGAGGACATGAGAAACTCAATTAACTATTTTATTCGGAACTGTTGTAAGGATATAGAGAAAAATAGAACAAGCCAGGATGTATCTGCCACCCAGTTTTGTCAAGTCTTAAGTTCTATCTACCCCTCCCTAATATAATTCCTCTTTTTTTCTTCCCTTTCCAGAAGTAACTAGTAACCTGAATAAGGTGTTAGTTATGAAAGTTTGTATATTTATACATAAATATATACATACATTCTACATGTATATAAGTAAATCTATATAAGTATTGCTTTCAGGCTTTTAACCATTTTTTTTTTGAAAACCCTAACTTTTATTTTTGAAAGACAGCTGAATAAACTGGCAAAAGCCAGTTTTGTTGAAATTTCAAGATGGTATAAAAATGCTTCCAGGATATATAGTCAGCATATTCACATTCACTTCGGCTCCATTCGGATGGATTTCAGCTTCCAACAGGCTTTTAACCTTTCAATAAAGTTATCAAGCTGTATAAATTCTTCTTCAACTCTCTTGTTTCACTTAAAATTATATTTCTGAGTCCTGGCCGGAGTTGCTCAGTTGGTTGGAGCATCGTCCCATACACCAGAAGGTCAAGGGTTCAATTTCCAGTCAGGGTTCATACCTGGGTTGGGGTTTGGTCTCAGTAGGGGCACATACAGGAGGCAAACAATTGATGCTTCTCTCAAATCTATGTTTCTCTCTCTCTAAAAATCAAGAAAAACATATCCTCGGGTGAGGATTAAAAAATTTATACTTTTGAGATTTTTTACATAAAGTTCTAGTTCATTTATTTTTAACTGCTTTATAGTGTTGTATGAATATACTACAACTGATTTAACCCATTCTCTTAGTAATGGATATTAAGCTTGTTGTCAATTTTTTGCTGCTTGTTTTTATGGACAATTGCTACAGCTTCTAGAACAATTCCTGGAGTAGAATTATCAAGTTGTAAGATATGCATGTTATCAACTTTACTAGATATTGCCAAGTGACTTTTCAAGGAGTGTTCATCTTTTCCCACTCCCAACTGGAGCAGAGCAGAGTTCTCCTTTCTTCTCATTCTTGCCAACACTTGATTTTACTCGATTATTTAGCCTACCTAATGGGTTTGAAATGGGACATTTAAAAATTAATCTTAGCCCTAGCTAGTTTGGCTCAGTGGATAGAGCATCAGCCTGTGGACTGAAGGGTCCTGGGTTCGATTCCGGTCAAGGGCACATGCCAGGGTTGTGGGCTCAATCCCCAGTAGGGGGTGTGCAGGAGGCAGCCGATCAATGATTCTCTCTCATCATTGATGTTTCTAACTCTCTCTCCCTCTTTGAAATCAATAAAAATATTAAAAAATTTAATTGTAAAATATATTAATTATATCAATCACATTTTCTGAATTACTGAACTGAACTTTTTATGTGTTTGTGAAACATTTGGCTTTCCTTACCTGTCCTTGGTCCATTTTCATCTTGGGCTGTTTGGTTTTCTTCTGCATTTGTGGGATTTCTTTAGCTACTCTGGTTCCTAATCTTTTCTCACTTACCTGGGATCCAGTGAGTGGTCTTTTCACACTATGTGACTTGTTTTTCACTTTTTAAAGAAAAGAGCTTATTTTTAATTTGAAAGCAAGACATTGTTGTGGCACCCCATCTGTGAAAATGTTATAGCTCTCATATTTTCAGGAGTGTTTTTTTTATGTCCTTTTATTTTATTTCTACAAAACTCTGGCATATTTGTGTTGAATTTATTTTAGGCACCTCATATTTTTCTTTGCTATTGTAATGCAATCATTTATTCTGCTTTCTAGTTGGTTATTATTGATGACATGCTATTGAATTTTGAAATGAGGATAAAAGCCATATTTTTAAGGTTGGTCATTTTGCCAGCAGAGCAGGATTTTAAAGGTTGAAAGCAGCTACAGTAAAGTGGAGAGAATATTGGCCTAAGCGTGAAAACAACAGATTTCTAGTCTGAGTTCTAGTGAGAAGTTGAACAGAGCACCTGTCTTCTTTGGGCCTTATTTTCCTTATTTATAAGATGAGGAGTTTAGCTAGTTGACAAACAAAAGTCCTTTTTTTTTTTTTTTACTTTAATATATATCTGTATTGATTTCAGAGAGGAAGGAAAAAGGAGAGACAGAAACATCAATGATGAGAGAGAATCATTGATCAGCTGCCTCCTATATGGCCCCAAGTGGGGATCGAGCCTGCAACCCAGGCATATGGCCTGACCTGGAATCGAACTGTGCCCTCCTGGTTCACAGATCAATGCTCAACCACTGAGCCACACAGGCCGGGCAGTCCTTTCATTTTTCAAAGTTTTTATTTTCTAGGTGATCTAAGGTCTCTGTGCTTTCATATTTATGCTAATTTCCCTAAAAGTATGGGCCAGTGGTTCTCCTACTGACCAGTTGTTTTTTGTTAGAGTTTGTGCCATTGTGGGAGCAGAATGCATCTCAGCCACATCCAAACAGTGAGTGGAGATGGGTATCCTCAGTACCAGCTTTGCTAGGTTCACATGCCCCCTTGGTGGTATGAGTTGACCGCCACGGTTTTCATGGCGTTAGCTGGTTTCAACGGACCCACTTAGGACAGCAAAATAAAAAATAAAAATAAAAACCCACAAAATATTGACTTACAGTTACTAACATTTAATTTTACAAGAGAGGACATAGGAAAGGCGGGACTAGGAACACTGCTATCATCATTGTATGAGAGGAGGGGTTATATTTTAATATGAAAAAGTAAAAGTAGGAAAGATATAATCTTAACACTTAAAAAATAAAATTAGCCCTAACCGGTTTGGCTCAGTGGATAGAGAGTGTCGGCCTGCGGACTGAAAGGTCCCAGGTTCAATTCTGGTCAAGGGCTTGTACCTTGGTTGCGGGCACATCCCCAGTGGGAGGTGTGCAGGAGGCAGCTGATCGATGTTCCTCTCTCATTGATGTTTCTAACTCTCTATCCCTCTCCTTCTGCTCTGTGAAAAATCAATAAAATACATATTTTTTAAAAAAAGTAAAATTAGCTCTAGGAAAAAGCTATCCTTGTTTTCTTCATTTTATTCCTAATTGGTGAAAACTTTGACCTCTGGTTTGCATTAGCGGATAGGCCTTTGGGAATCGGTGCTCTGGGAAACCAGCAGCTCACGTGACGCTAAGGGCGTGCAGGCCATTCATTGCTTCACAGAGGAAGCTCCTTTGCTCTAAGGGACCTACAAATAGGGCTACACGAGTAAACTCACCAAGCAATGTGGCCAGAAGGGAGGGAAAATAAAGAGACATAAGTGGCTCTTTAGCATTTGAAATATTTGCGGTGCATTAATCAAAATCTCTAAACTCACACAGTGCTTTGGTCATACTGTAAGGATAGCAATTTCTCACCGATCAATGGTTTTTATCAAGAAGATTTTAGGATCAAGTGAATAAATAATCTGATGAACAGAATAAACTGGTGATTATAATAGAATCAGGGGCATAGAAAGGGAGTGGACTGACTATTCTTGGGGGGGAAAGGGGTGTGGGGGATGTGGGAAGAGACTGGACAAAAATCGTGCACCTTTGGATGAGGACAGTGGGGGGTGGGTGAGGGTGGAGGGTGGGGGGGGAACCGGGTGGAGGGGAGCTATGGGGGGGGGGAAAGAGGAACAAATGTAATAATCTGAACAATAAAGATTTAATTTTAAAAAATGAATTAATTTTAAAAAAAGAAGATTTTAGGAGCAAAATGTATCCAAATTTAAAAAAAAATTATGTTGGCAGAATGCAATGTTATCTCCTTAAAATAGAGATCATGAAAAAATTGTTGTTCCTGTCTCTTGTGGTCTATGACGTTGTATCAACGGGCCAGTTTATAACCCATTACGTGGCTCCAAGGCCACACCCAGACCATCTGGCACAGTGATGATTTCTGAAAGGATCGGGCAGTTGCACAAGCACTTTTCTGAGGTTGAGAAGATAAAATCAAGACTATGAGTGCCAGAGAGACAATACATTTCAATCCCCTAAGGACTGGTTCGAAGACATTCAAACTTACGGGGAGTCTGCCTCAGTACATAATGCATTAGCAATGGCCCCTGAGTGGCCGGCTGTGCCTACGGAAGCAGTGTTTGCTGTTTGTTTAATGCAGCTGAGGGTCTGGGAGGATAGAGGTTTGGTGCATCTTCCCTTCACTCCACTCCCAGCTCCAACTCCAGGAATGAACTATCCCATTCATTTACTATTGTACACCTTACAAGAGGTGTCTTATAGTTCTTTCTGGGAAGAGTATAATGAATCATCTTTTTCCCAGCAGTAGGCCAGCAATCATCTTAATAACTGCTGGGTTTCTTTTTAAGTTGTGTTTTGCGGGGTGTGTGTGTGTGTGTTTTAATACGTTTTTATTGATTTCAGAGAGTAAGGGAGAGGAAGAGAGAGAGATAGAAACATCAATGATGAGAAATAATCATTGATCGGCTGCTTCCTGCACGCCCCCTACTGGGGACCCAGCCAGCAACCCAGGCATGTGCCCTGACTGGAAATTGAACTGTGACCTCCTGGTTCATAGGTCAATGCTCACCCACTAAGCCACACCGCCCGAGTAGTGCTAGATTTTTTTTTTTCTGATCTTAGCTTTCAGAAGGGGACTAATGATGATGATGATGATGATGTGATAAATAGTAATAATGAGTCCCTGAGTTCTAGGTGGGGAAAGATTCACTCAATAGGCAGAATAAATGACCTAGCCTTCATTTCAAATATGAAGAAGGCATTCTTAGGGAGTACTAGACTCGCCGGAAAAATAAATTAGCCTACCTCAAATATCCCAACACAGCCCTGAGCAGATTGCATCCTTAACCTTAAAGTACACAGAGCAATTTTGGTGACAACCTGAGAAAGTGACCTGAGCATTCCTGAGCACGTCATGGATCCTAAGGGACAGAGGAGAATCAGCGCTCCCTCTTAGGGAGCAGTTTCGCCAGGGACCATCCCCCAGCTGTGTGTCAACTTAGCCTTTCTGGTTCCCGCTCCAGAAATCCCTCAGCAAACACTGGATGGGTGCGATGCTGTGGCTGAGCAGCTCTTCTTTTTTTTAAAATATAATTTTATTGATTCCAGAGAGGAAGGGAGAGGGGGAGAGAAATAGAAACATCAATCATTGATCGGCTGCCTCCTGCACACCCCTCACTGGGGATCTAGACCGCAACCTGGGCATGTGCCCTGACTGGGAATTGAACCAGTGACCTTCTGGTTCATAGGCTGACACTCAACCATTGAGCCATACTGGCCGGGCTGAGCAGCTCTTCTTTTTGGCTCTTTGTTGTTGTTGTTTTTTGTTTTGTTCTTCTAATATGTTTTTGTTGATTCCAGAGAGGAAGGGAGAGGGAGAGAGAGAGAAACATCAATGATGAGAGAGGAACATCATTGACCAGCTGCCTCCTGTATGGCCCCTACTGGGGATGAAATCTGCAATGGAGGTATGTGCCCTTGACCGGGAATCGAACCCGGGACCCTTGTGTCTGCAGGCCGACGCTCTCTCCACTGAGCCAATCCAGCCAGGGCCTTTTTGGCTCTTTGCTTGGTCCTGGGCAAGCTTACTTGGCAGCCTCCTAGGGAGGAGGGTGGGGAAATGCCATCCTTAGCTGGCTGGCAAGAGAGGAGTTCAGTGGGGATGGTCCCCAGACGCAGCTGGTTTTCCCAAGAAGAGCAGAGAGAGTACAGGTGTCCACGGGGGATGGCAAACCTGCATCATTTTGATCTTCCCGCTGTGCTCCAGGACGAGGAGCAGGTGCTGGTGTTTCTCCTGCACCTTCAGGAAGGCCAGGCGCTTCACCCAGTGCTCCTCCTCCTTCCAGTCCTTCCCTTCCGGCAGCACCTTCAGCTCCTGCCCGCTGCCGAAGTCCCAGATCTTAACGGTTCCTGGGCACAGAGGGAGACGCGGTGGGTGGAAAGGCATGGATAGGAAGCTGGGCTCTTATCTCAGGGAACACGGACCTCATTGAAAGCTTTCTGCCCACGATTTATTCTATGTCCATTTCCCACTGAAATGTGAGTCTCTCTGGCCTTGCTGTGCACAGTGTACGTTTCTGGGGGCCTGGATTGGACTCAGGCTGACAAACATGAAACGGGCCCAGGCAATGTCTTGAAATTGCGACCGTTTTCTTTGAACTCTCCTATCTGAGCTTTCTGTCTTAAATGGACCTTTTCTGCCTTTATTCTCCCAAGGCTTTCCAGTTTGCTAAATACCCCCGATATCTATCCACTTGTACATCTAACATTATGCCACAATTACTATTATTATTATTATTTAAAAATGTTTATTGATTTCAGAGAGGAAGGGAAAGAGAGAGAGAGAGAGAGAGAGAGAGAGAGAGAGAGAGAGAGAATCATTGATTGGCTGCCTCCTGCATGCCCCCTACTGGGGATCAAACCTGCAAACCCAGGCATGAGCCCCGACAGGGAATCGAACTGTGGCCTCCTGGTTCATAGGTGGATGCTCAACCACTGAGCCACACCGGCTGGGCATCCACAATTGTTACTAATAGAAAGATCATCACTGCAATAGTAAAGATCGCAGGGTCACCTCAGGGTTAGGTATAGTGGGCTGCCCCTCACAGCACTTTGCCTCCCCTCCCTTAACTGTTAATACTTAAAACGCCCTCTGGACTGGATGACTAATGCAATAAAATATTATGCTTGCATGAAAATAGTGCCATCTCAGCCACATTGAATTGCTTAATGCTTATGTCTGATAATAGCTGTGTCCATTGCTCAGAATTTCTATTATGACTAATTTTCACCTTGTGCAGGGTTGCTAAGAGCAGGGGACTGCCTTCTTAGGATCTGTCCCATGAGAGAGCAGCGGCATTCACTCAATCACACTGTATCCACTCAGCAGAGGCAATTTTATTTCATGGGTATTGCTATCTGCTCACACTTTTAAAAAGCAGACTCTTAGCCCAGCTGGCATGACTCAGGGTTGAGCGTCGACCTATGAACCAGGAGGTCACGGTTCGATTCCTGGTCAGGGCACATGCCCCGTTGTGCACTTGATCTCCAGTGGAGGACTTGTGGGAGGCAGCTGATCAGTGATTCTCCCTCATCATTAATGTTTCTATCTCTCTCTCCCTCTTCCTTCCTCTCTAGAATCAATAAAAATATTTAAACACACACACACACACACACACACACACACACACACACACACAAAACAACACAGCACAGCCTGAGCCTCCAATGTGTACACTTCACCTAACCTCAAGGAGCTCACACGAATAGACAAGTTGAAAGGAGAATTCGAGGTGTTCTATGACAAAGCTGGCTGGATATTTCGTGTGGCCCCCAAATCTACCGTCAATAAAAATATTATCAACAACCACTGAACCTAATATGTATATCTTAGCAGATGGTCCCCAAAAGTAGGACTGAATGAGTTAGTGCAACACAGATAAGTCCAAGCAAAGATGGAGGAAGACTGTATGTGGGGAAGACTTTTGCAAACTGTAAAGCAGCTGTATGATGTAATGGAAAGTATTGATTACGGTGAACATCCGTCTCCGGACAAGAATGCCCATCAAAGAAGAGTTATCACGCTCCTGTCAGGCGCTATGATCTTGCTGTCATGGTTACGTGGTCCAGCCAGGTTCATGCCCTCCCTGTGACTCAAACTACTAATGAGCTTCCTGAGCAAACTCTCAGAGCACTAACACAGGGAGGCCGTGTTTTGAATCTTAGTCTGACCATTATACGCTCCTGTGGCAAAAAGAAATCCACTGTCATCGATAGCTGCAGAAGTCAGTTCAATATTGAAGCCATGAGGGTCTAGAATCTGGTATATTTGGAGGCCAGTCTCAAGTTCCCACACCTATAGGTAAGAACAAGAAAATCAAATGCCTTTCAGTTCTTATCAACAAATTTACAGTATTCAAGACAGCCTCAAAATTGGTGCTATGGCCCTGGCCGGTTTGGGCGAGTGGTCATCGCACTGGCCCCTTGGACCAAAGGTCTTAGGTTTGATTTCCAGTCAAGGGCACATAACTGGGTTGCAGGTTATCCCTGCCCTGGTTGAGGTGTGTGTGGGAGGCAACCAATGAAGGTGTTTCTCAAATCCCTCTCTCTCTTTCTGTCTTTCCTCTCTCCCTCCCCCTCTCCTCCCTGCCTCCCTTCCACTCTCTCTAAAAACCAATGGAAAAAATATCCTCGGGTGAGCATTTTTAAAAAAAAGAATGGTGCTACGTCCATCTAACACCCTTCTCAGCATTCTGCCATGAATGTTGATTTGCTCAAAGGAAGTTCTAAACGATGCAAGGCCGCCTCCTTGTGACTGTGCTGCCCTGGGGGTGTCTGTGGCTGAGACAGGCAGGGACTGTTCCAGGAAGCCTGTGCAGGAAGTAGTCCATTGCTATTGTAAGTATGGAGCAAGATGAAAATAGAACAGTGATGAGTCCAGCCGAAAAGATCACCCTGGGTGTTTTCCCCTCTGTTGGCACTCATCCAAGTTAGCTAGGGGTCGCTTGTAATCTGAGAGAACCCTGAGGAGGGAGCTTTCCAAGGAGTGATTAGGGGCAGGGGATGAGAGAGAGAGAGAGAGAGAGAGAGAGAGAGAGAGAGAGAGATGGAGAGATGGGGGAAAGGCTAAGACTTCAGAAAAGGCTGCCTCTGTAACCAGGCTGGGTATAATCAGGAAATGCAGGAACATGTCAAGACTCATCATTGCCCGGCCTGTGTGGCTCAGTGGTTGAGCACCGAACCATGCACCAAGAGGTGACGGGTTGGATTCCCAGTCAGGGCACATGCTCAAGTTGCTGGCCTGATTCCCAGCAGGGGGCGTGCAGGAGGCAGCTGATTGATGTTGAAGCATTGATGTTTCTATCTCCCTCTCCCTTTCTAAAATCAATAATAATAAAAAAATATTTTAAAAAAAGACTCATCATTATCTCCCTTTGGAAACACAGTAGGCACTTTAGTCTCACAGTCCTTAGGTCTGAATCTCCCATCTTCATGGATTTGCTATGTTCACTTGTAATAAAAGTGAAGTGGCAGGCCGGGCCGGTGTGGCTCAGTGGTTGAGCGTTGACCTATGAACCAGGAGGTCATGGTTCGATTCCCGGTCAGGGCACATGCCGGGTTGTGGGCTCCATCCCCAGTGTAGGGCGTGCAGGAGGCAGCCGATCAATGATTCTCTCTCATCATTGATGTTTCTACCTCTCTCTCCCTCTCCTTTCCTCTCTGAAGTCAATAAAAATATATATTAAAAAAATAAAAGTGAAGAGGCAACACAAGATGAATTTGGTTGCACTCAAGTTATCTGGGGCGGGGGCAGCATAAGCAAAGGGCCAGAGCTGGGAAGGTGCATGGCTCCTCCAGGGACCTGAGGGGAAGCTGCAGCAGTTGGGGTGACGGGGTTCGGGGGAGGGGCGCAGGAGGAGCTGATGGAACAGTCTCCGAATGGAGCCAGTCTGCCCGGAGGCCATGCTCTCCACCTCTGTGTGTCCCGGGGGCTAGAGGGGTCCTTAATGGAGAAAGCGTGTCACTGGTGAATGGGTTTCACAGGTCACCCATTTCCTGGCCTGAAGCACAGCCCTCTCCCCGCTCAGGCATGGAAACGCACCTTGACGTCTGCATCCCCAGGGAGGACACTTTCCCCTGGAGAGGTCTTCTGCAGGGAAGCAGCACAGGGTTTAAGTTTTCACTTCCCTCTACTTACTCCGTGGCATTAGCAGAACTTATTTATTTTTTTAATCCTCACCCGAGGATATTTTTCCATTGATTTTTTTAGAGAGAGTGGAAGGGAGGGAGAGAGACACAGAGAGAAACATCGATGTCAGAGAGGCACATCTATGGTTGCCTCCCACACACACCCTGACCAGGGCCCCGGCCGGCCAGGGAGGAGCCTGCAACCGAGGTACATGCCCTTGAGGGGAATCGAACCTGGGATCCTTGAGTCCGCAGGCTGACGCTCTATCCACTGAGCCAAACTAGGGCGGCGTTATCAGAGCTAAGCGATCACTGACTGACCTCGTGAGATTTGGACCTGAGACAATATCCAGCAGGTGTGCCGAGAAGGTCAAAGGTTGCGAGGGGCTGGGAAGGGGTGGAGGGGAAGGCTCACACTGCCCTGTCTCCCTTTGGAGGGCATGCACGGAACGAACGGAGAAACACTTGAAGCAAACACCTCCAGCCATCACTGCTACGTGACTGCAGGGGATGCAGTTACAGATACGCCGGCACGGCCACACACCCTGGCCTCCAGGGAGCACAGCAAGGGCAGAGCCAGAGGAACGCAGAGGCAAGGACGTGGGCATTCACAGCAGACGAACCCGGTTCATGTCCCAGTCCTGCTGCCCGATCTCTCTGAGCGCTCGTTTGCTCACCGTTCAAATGGAACTCTGTCCACAGGGAACTACTTGAGCATTAATGAGGGCGTGGATTTAAGGCCCTTGGTGCATAGCCCACACCTAGAGGCGTTATAGGAAACATCTATCCAGTTCTTTCCCTTTCTTCTTAACATACCCTCTTTCCAGAGTTCAGTATTAAAAAATTACATATATACAGGGTGTTCCTAAAAATGTATACACATATTGAAGAATTATAAAGGCAGTGTTTATTAAAATACACTTCCTTTTCAAAATTTCATAGAATCTACAGACATTGTGTATATACATTTTGGGGGTACACCCTAGATAGATAGATAAACAGATAGATTTTCTTTAAAATTCTTATTTTTTAAAAAAAATATTTTTATTGATTTCAGAGAGAAAGGGAGAGGGAGAGAGAAAGAAATATCAATGATGAGAGAGAATCATTGATCAGCTGCCTCCTGCACGCCCCACATTGGTGATCGAGCCTGCAACCTGGGCATGTGTCCTGTCCAGGAAAAGAACCATGATCTCCTGGTTCATAGGTCAATGCTCAACCACTGAGCCATGCAGGCCGGCCGGGCAAAATTCCTATTCTGATAGTAACAACTAGCTTTATTTATTTATTTGAGCATGTCACTTAATACTAAGCAGTCTGAGCTGGCTTAACATACTTGTTTTTCATGTGTTTGTGAAAGCTTAAAAATAGATCGAAGGTAGGGCATCATCACAGGTGCCACTGCATTTACTTAATCATCCAAAGACTTCCCAGGAAGAAGGAAAATTCGATCTGCTTTCCTTTTTCTCTCTGCAGAGTCAACACGCACTCACCTTAATGATGGACTCGGAGCAGATGGTAAGCACTTGGTGGAAGTATTTGTTGTGAAGCATGACATTGATTTCTCGCTCATGCGTGTGAGGAACCTGTTTTGTATCTTGTATCATCCTAGTCAAAGGGTACATGTCAATAACAGTAGATCCTGGGAAAAAAGTAAGAGTCTCATCAATACTCAATACTAGAAGGTTATTTTTGAACCAATATTAGAAGTTTTTTTGTTAATCCTCACCCGAGGATATTTTTCCATTGATTTTTAGAGAAAGTGGAAGAGAGAGGAAAAGACAGAAAGAAACATCCATGTGAGAGAAACACATCGATTGGTTGCCTCCTGCACGAGCCCTGACCAGGGCCTAGGCCGGGGAGGAGCCTGCAACCAAGGTAGGTGTCCTTGACCAGAATCGAACCCAGGACCCTTTGGTCCGCAGGCTGATGCTCTATCCACTGAGCCAAACAGGCCAGGGCAATATTAGAAGTTTTGAACCACAAAGGATTTTATGCAACCAGTTGTGTTTGGAAACAGCCAATCAGTGAGACTAGTAATATCAATGCCTAGGAACTTTAATGAGGGGAAAATGCATTCATTTACTCTAAAACAATTTCGATAAATAAAGCAAATGTGATTGAGCCAGAGAAGAACATTCATTTTGGGCCGCATTAATTTTCAAGTGCAGGCCATTTGGGTCTCACTGATACCCTCTTTTCAGTGACTTCTGTTTTCCCGTTAGAGTGCCTCTCCATCTGGTGTAGAGGGAGGATGGAGATGGAAATGGGAGGTGAGCTGCCATTTAGGGATTGAAATTGATTGTTAGAGAGCCCTTTCCAACCAACGAATGATAAAAAACAAAACAAAACACCCACTGTAAACATGGTCTTATTAAATGTAACCAATGAGAATAATTGCAAGCCAGCGCTTGCAACATTACTATTAAATAAGATTTTTTCCACCCTAGCTGGTTTGGCTCAGTGGATAGAGCACCGGCCTGCAGACTGAAAGGTCCCAGGTTCGATTCCAGTCAAGGGCACATGCCTGGGTTGTGGGCTCGATCCCCAGTGGGGGGCATGCAGAAGGCAGCCAATCAATGATTCTCTCTGATGATTGATGTTTCTCTCTCTCTTTCCCTCTCCCTTACTCTCTGAAATCAATAAAAATATATTAAAAAAAATAAGATTAGCCTAATTGGTTTGGCTCAGTGGATAGAGCATCAGCCTGCGGACTGAAAGGTCCCGGGTTCGATTCCGGTCAAGGGCATGTACCTTGGTTGTGGGCACATCCCCAGTGGGGGGTGTGCAGGAGGCAGCTGATCGATGTTTCTCTCTCATCGATGTTTCTAGCTCTCTGTCCCTCTCCCTTCCTCTCTGTAAAAAATCAATAAAATATATTTTTTAAAAAATAAGATTATTTCCCAAATCACCATAGTGCAGTACATGGAGAGCAGGTAATTCTTACTTTCCTCTCCTAAGGGTGTTTGGGTTGGTTTTACAGTAACAGGCTAATCTGCAAGTATGATTTGACTCTCAAGATCAGTGAACCATGTATCCTGGTTGGGTATAACGTCTGGGAATATAAATAAGAGCCCCAAAGCATCCCATAGCTCAAACAAAAATAAATCCTCTTTCCTGTTTTGTTTTGTGTGTTTTTTCCAATGTGGATTTTCCCCTTTGCATTGAGTTTCTAGAGTCTCTCCCAAGAAATCTCAACGTTACGAAACATTCCAGCAGGAGTTTCGAGTTACTAAACTCTTTCTTCAGGTGTTCAAATTTTAAGAGAAAACCTACTCGTGGGTAAAGGACTGTGAGGAATAGTTTTCAATCCAAATACCTCAAGATGGAACTAGGAGGAATATGGTAACCAGCCAGTCAAACAGCACTCGAAGCTCCTCGCCCTAATGAATCCCAGGGGAAGTCAGAGCAGGTGGTCACTGGGAAATTGCTTAGGGAATGCATTCCGGGTTGGTGTTCCAGAAGGAAGTTGTATTGTTAATATGGTTCGTTTTTCCTCCAAAGCCTGAGGGTATGTGCTCAGCTGTGAGTGCCTCTTTAGTAAGCATGTGTTTCTAAGAGGCAACAAGAAAAGAAGGCACCGAATCTGTTGGCATCAGCTCTGGGCATCTGTCACTTGGGCTTCTCTTCTCTCTCTCCACTTTGTCCAGAAGCAAAGGCAGGTAGAAAGGAGGGACAGCTCCCTTATTACTGTGTAAGTACTGTCTCATTATCAGAGTGCCCAGGGCCAAAACGCCTGAAGAAAGTGGTGCATCTGCTCTAAAATGGACCGTATTCCTGCCCTCCCCGGTTTGGCTCAGTGGATAGAGCATTGGCCCTCAGACTGAAGGATCCCAGGTTCGATTCCCATCAAGGGCATGTGCCTCGGCTGCTGGCTTGATCTGGGAGGCAGCCAATCGACGTGTCTCTCTCACATCGATGTTTCTCTCTCTTCTCTCTGTCTCTCCTTTCTCCCTTCCACACTCTCTAAATATCAATGAAAAAAAAATATCCTTGAGTTGAGGATTTAAAATAATAATAACAATAATGATGATAATAATAATAAACGTGCTTCCTTTAACCATAAAAGGATAAATAAATAAAATGGCCTATATTCCTGTTCCCAAGAGTCAAAACAGAGCTGAACTGACCTTGTCTTAGCAACAGGTTATACATCCCACGTTTCTGCTTAACCCACCCTGTCACATCTTTCTAGGTATTTTCTGAGGACAGTTAAATATTTAAAAAAATATTTTTATTGAGTTTTAGAGAGAGAGGAAGAGAGAGGGATAGATATAAACGTCAATTAGAAAGAAACATCGATTGGCTGCCTCCTGCACGCCCCCTAATGGGGATTGAGCTCACAACCTGGGCATGTGCCCTGACTGGGAATCGAACCGGTGACCTCTTGGTTCATGGGTCAACGTTCAACCACTGAGCCACACCAGCCATGCAGGACAGTTACACATTTTATCCACCCAGCCATGGAACTGCAGGAGGGAATAAAAATGAATTAAATGCCTCCTGTGATGAATAAAGGTTTATAAGTTCCCCTTCTAGTTTTGTTTTTCTTCTAGCTTATACTTGTGTACGAGTTAAAAAAGGTTAGAAGTCAGAATATGAGCTCTGTTTGCCATTAGGCGGGACACTTACCTGCAATGAGCATGCCGTGGTTGGCGTCATAGATCATGGAGTAGATCTGCATGTCTCCGGGTCCTCCCTGGCTGTCGTGGAAGACTTGCAACAGGGACAGAGTCTGTATATCCCACACCCTGAACACCTGGGGATGGAAACCACAGCTCACCTCTGGGACACCAGGCCTCCCCCACTCAAAGCCGTTCAGAGTCTGTAATATGCTCCTAAGAACTAGCTGCAAAGTATGACTTATTGGATAGTACACACTAGGCCAGGGGTCCTCAAACGTTTTAAACAGGGGGCCAGCTCACTGTCCCTCAGACCGTTGGAGGGCCGGACTATAGTTTAAAAAAAAACTATGAACAAATTCCTATGCACACTGCACATTTCTTATTTTGAAGTAAAAAAACAAAACGGGAACAAATACAATATTTGTATTTGTATGTGGCCTGCGGGCCGTAGTTTGAAGACCCCTGTACTAGTATTTGCTCAACTCTCATCTGTCTGTTGGTTCAACTACTGTTCAGGGGGAAATAGTCTGCTTAACACATTAAGTGCCCAGTCAGTCACCGGTGACTGACACTATACTTCCCGCCCAGAAGACAAAACAGGCTGGGCGCTTATCGTGTTAAAGGAACTGGATTTTTCCATCATTACAGAAGGGACGAGAAAACATAATATCTCTTATTCTTTGAGAATTTGGAGAAATAGTAAAATACCGAGTATGATTTACAGCGCTATAGAAGCCATTTTTCTTTACAGCGTGGATTAGAGAATAGAGGGAAGACATATTTTAGGTGGAGTGTTTCAAATTGCTCTTTCATGACTTAAGAAGATGAGAACATCTTACTAAGTGAGGGTTTTAAGACGCTCCCCTTTCTCCTGCCCAGGCATGTAAGAATTATAGAAAGCAGTTTTCTTTTTTTTTTTTTTAATCCTCACCCAAGGATATTTTTTTCCATTGATTTTTAGAGAGAGTGGAAGGGAAAGGGAGAGACAGAGAGAAACACTGATATGAGAGAGGCACATGGATTGATTGCCTCCTTCATGCCCCCAACCAGGGTCAGGAGCCTGCAACCGAGGTATGTGCCCTTGACCGGAATCAAACCCGGGACTCTTCAGTCCACAGGCCAACACTCTATTCACTGAGCCAAACCAGCTAGGGAGAAAGCAGTTTTTAGGGATGGTGTAAATATAGTAAAAGTGTGGGGAAATAGGTTATTGGAGCTCGCCTTTGAGGAAGGAAAGAGAACTACGTAACTTCTCAAATACATCTTGGATTGGCAAAAGAGACTAGAAAGAATTAATTCAGCAAAACTAGGAAAAGTTTACCCTTTGTCATTTGAAATAATGGTTTTCGTCTTCTCCATCTTCTATTTCAGGGGTCCTCAAACTACGGCCCGCGGGCCACATGCGGCCCGCCGAAAACATTTATCCGGCCCGCCGGGTGTTTTTGCCGCCGCTGCCTGTTGCTTAGCAGCCGACTAGTTTTTTTTATAGTCCGGCCCTCCAATGGTCTGAGGGACAGTGAACTGGCCCTCTGTTTAAAAAGTTTGAGGACCCCTGTTCTATTTTTTTCTTTTAGCAATTTACAGTGTGATTGAATTTCAGAAATAAGTGTGATTTCATCAAGGATTCTATCTCCTAGCATGCATCAGCCTTAAATATTTTAAAATTATAATAGTTATTATTAAACTATTAAATTATAATCTGCCCTAGCCGGTTTGGCTCACTGGATAGAGCGTCGGCCTGGAGACTGAAGGGTCCCAGGTTCGATTCCGGTCAAGGGCATGTACCTTGGGTGCAGGCACATCCCCAGTAGAGGGTGTGCGGGAGGTAGTTGATCGATGCTTCTCTCTCATCGATGTTTCTAACTCTCTATCCCTCTCCCTTCCTCTCTGTAAAAAAGCAATAAAATATATTTAAAAAAAATTAAATTATAACCTTTGTTGAGTAAATAAGTGATTATTTGATAAAACTACTTATAAAGCTTTAATAAGCACTTCTATTCACAAAGATACTAACTTCTTATTTGAGACACATAATGTAGTTAATTGAGTTAAAAGCTTCACTGTTGTGGATATAGGCTGGTCCTTCTGTGTAAACCATAAGGATGTCTGAGTCATGTGACTGAGTCATGTGACTTGGGAAGGAGCTTGGACTATACTCCCTGTAGGCAAGTATTACTCAGAGCTTGTACTTCCTTTGTTCTAATAAACACTTTAAGAGAATTAGCTAGCACATCAAACCTTATCAGCTGCTTGTATTATTGAGTAAACAGGTATCTTGGACTATTTATGAATTTAGGTTCAGAGCCTAGAATGACAGGGAAGCAAGGGAAGAACCTAAGGGTGGAATCAAGGAGTGTGAAGAAATTGGTCTCTATTCAAATTATTTCTAATCTTATTGCTTGGCTGTGACACATTCATGGTTGGCAGTGTTTTGACTTTAGGTGTAAACTTTCTGAATTGTGGTTGGTGGAAACAGCAAGGGATGAGGCAAAAGAAGATTAGGATTTCAGTTCTAGCCTCAGTTTCCTTGTTTCTGAAAGGGATTCAATAACACCAACACTCTCCACCTTACTGAGTTGATGTCAATATACTTTGAAACCTGTGATTTTTCTACAGAGTAATTATATTTTTTAAAAAATATATTTTTATTGATTTCAGAGAGGAAGGTAGAGGGAGAGGGAGGGAGGGAGGGAGGGAGAGAGAGAGAGAGAGAGAGAGAGAGAGAGAGAGAGAGAGAGAGAGAAACATCAATGATGAGAGAGAATCATTAGTTGGCTGCCTCCTGCATGCCCTACACTGGGGATCAAGCCTGCAACCTGGCCATGTGCCCTGTCTGGGAATCGAACCTCAACCTCCTGATTCATAGGTTGATGCTCAAGCACTGAGCCAAACCAGCTGGGCCACCTGTATGTTCTTATGGAAAATTTTAGAATTTCTGTGGTTTTTGTAGTCCACATATAAAATCTTTAATCCACATGGAATGTATTTTTCTGTTTAGTATGAAGTGATGATCTGATTTCATATTTTTCTTTATATGATTAATCCGTTTTCCCCAAATTTAATGAACAAAACCACCCTTTGCTCAGAGATGTGAAATGTTACTTTTATCATACACAAAATTCCCATACACACATGAACCTTGCATTTTCTATTTGTCTCATAGGTATGTCTAACAGTTCCTGTATTGACTACTGCTCTGTGTGATTTACTGTGGCTTTACAATATGTTTTAATGAGCATCTGACAGGGAAAGTGTCATCGTATAAGGATATTCTCCAAAGTTTATAGGATTTTTACATATTATTATTTTTACATTAGCTTTAAACTTGGAAAACTGATACTTAAATAATCCTGATTGGCATTAAATATGTAGCTTAATTTGCCGAACACTATCTTAGAGTACAATATATTTTTAAAAATATATTTTATTGATTTTTTTACAGAGAGGAAGGGAGAGGAATAGAGAGTTAGAAACATTGATCAGCTGCCTCCTGCACACGCCCTACTGGGGATGTGCCTGCAACCAAGGTACATGCCCTTGACCGGAATCGAACCCGGGACCCTTCAGTCCGCAGGCTGATGCTCTATCCACTGAGCCAAACCGGTTAGGGCATAGGGAATCAATGTGTTTCTCTCACATACAATACTCTTATGCAGTAACGTAGAACGTCTCCCTGTTGATGTTCTTAATAAAAGTACCTCAGAAAAACTTTGAAGTTATCTTCTACTCATGGTGAATATTGCTTGTTAAGGTTATTTTTAGGTATTTTATAATTTTTTAAAAAAATATTTTTTATTGATTTTTTACAGAGAGGAAGGGAGAGGGATAGAGAGTTAGAAACATAAATGAGAGAGAAACATCGATCAGCTGCCTCCTGCACACCCCCCACTGGGGATGTGCCCGCAACCCAGGTACATGCCCTTGACCGGAATCGAACCTGGGACCCCTGAGTCCGCAGGCCAACGCTCTATCCACTGAGTCAAACCGGTTAGGGCTATTTCATAATTTTTTGGCTCTTGTAAATGCTATCTGTTTGACCATTTTTTTTCCCAACTGGTTATTGCTCTTACATATTTTTAGAAATTGCTATTACAACCAGTCACCTTATTAAACTTATTTTAAAATTTTAAGCTTATTTTATTAACATTTTCAAGCAATCCCGTTACTTGCAAATATAGTAATTCAGTCTCCTCATTTAGAATATTTATAGCTGGTTTTTCTTATTTTATCACATTGGTTAGAACACTTAAAACACTGTTAGAGCCCTAGCCGGTTTGGCTCAGTGGATAGAGAGTCAGGCTGCAGACCAAAGGGTCCCTGGTTGGATTCCAGTCAAGGGCACGTACCTCGGTTGCAGGCTCCTCCCTGGCCTGAGCCCTGGTCGGGGCTTGTGCAGGAGGCAACCAATCGATGTGTTTCTCTCACATCGATGTTTCTCTCTGTCTTTCCCCCTCTCTTCTACTCTCCCTAAAAAAATCAATGGAAAAATATCCTTGGGTGATGGTTAACAAAACAAAACACTGTTTGAGAAGAGCAGCAATGACAGAAATCCTAGCTTTTCCTGCATCTAATGATGATGATGTCTGTGTTGGGAGGGCCTCTTGTGTCTGCTGTGGAGGACAACACTGGCTCTCTCCCCAGAGCTGTACCCTTTCACTCCTTAAACACGCCCTTCCTTGTGCTGTAATCAGCCCAGACGGAACAGCGGCTCATCAGCTCCTTCTCCACACTGAGAATACGTTTCTCAGTGACTGTCAGCTCTTTTAGGCAAAAAATTGTCTGGATTCTAGATTTCCTAATAGTTGATTTTAAAGAAAAAAAAAAAAAGCAGCTTCTTTCTTTCCGCTGTTTCCCGTTTGTTACCTTGGCCGAGGAAAGGCTGATGACGAGCTGGTCCTTCTCGTTGGTGACGACCTCGGTGATACTGAACATGTGCCCCACGAGCTTCCCCACGGGCTTGGTGCTGATGTTGGGGTGCCACAGCCGGAGCACCTTGTCGTCTCCTGGAAACACGTGGAATGGCTGCTTATTTTCTCAGGGGCACATTGGTCACAGTGTAAAGAGTCTGTGTCTCCCCATTTTCTCCACCCCCAGCCCCTGGGAACCACCATGCAACTCTCTGTTTCCATTAGTTCAGTTTAATATATATATATATATATATATATATATATATATATATATACAATTTTTTTTTGTCCTAGCCAGTTTGGGTCAGTGGATAGAGCATCGGCCTGCAGACCAAAGGGTCCTGGGTTCAATTCTGGTCAAGGGCACGTACCTTGGTTGCAGGCTCCTCCCTGGACGGAGCCCTGGTCGGGGCATGTGCAGGAGGCAACCAATCAATGTGTTTCTCTCACATCGATATTTCTCTCTGTCTTTCCCTCTCTCTTCTACTCTCCCTAAAAATCAATGGGAAAAAAATCCTCAGGTGAGGATTAACAACAACAACAACAACAACAAAATATTTTTATTGGTTTCAGAGAGGACGGGAGAGGCAGAGAGACAGGAAAACATCAATGATGAGAGAGAATCATTGATCAGCTGCCTCCTGCATGCCCCCACACTGGGGATCGAGTCTGCAACCCAGGCATGTGCCCAGACTGGGAATTGAACCATGACCTCCTGGTTCATAGGTCAACGTTCAACCAATGAACCACACCTTAAGAGTAGGTACTGTTGAGACTGAAACTTAAAGAAGTTAAATAACCTGCTCAAGGCCATACAACTTGCTGGTAAGGGAGCTAGGATTTGTTCCTAAACAATCGGACTCCAGAGCCCAGGCTCAAAGCCATTGCACTAATCAGAACCCCAGCATCACAGATGAGGAATCTGAGGCTCAAAGAATATTCCCGTCCGTCCTCCACCTTTCTCAGCTTCTTAGATCATCGTGGTCCTTATTCTCAGCAGATAACCTGGTTTCCCATCTTCTACCCTACTTAGCCCTTAGATGTTGGCATTTTAAAAAATATATATTTTATTGATTTTTTACAGAGAGGAGGGGAGAGGAATAGAGAGTTAGAAACATTGACAAGAGAGAAACATCCATCAGCTGCCTCCTGCACACTCCCCACTGGGGATGTGCCTGCAACCAAGGTACATGCCCTTGACCAGAATCGAACCTGGGACCCTTCAATCCGCAGACCGACGCTCTATCCACTGAGCCAAACCAGTTAGGGCTAGATGTTGGCATTTTTTAAAGCTATATCCATGGCCTTCTTCTCTGATAACTCTAAACCACGACTATTGACTTTTTTGGTCATGGACCCCTTTTGATGATTTGATAAAATTTTTAACTTTCTCTCCGGAAAAATGTACATAAACATACAAGTGTATTCAGTTTCAGGGGCTATAGGACTCCTGAAAACCCACACCTAGGTCCCAAGCTAAGAACACATGCTCTCACACACTGAAATAAGTTCTAGATACATTAAAGAACTAAAGTTAAAATGTAAAACGAAACAATAAAAAATAACATTGAAATACAGAGGAATTTGCTTCACATATTGTTGGGCTACGGAAGGTCTTCTAAGAACCCAGAAGCTACCAAAAAAAAAAAAAGCCCTGGCCAATATGGCTCAGTGGCTAGAGTGCCGGCCTGAGGATTGAAGGGTCCTGGGTTCGATTCCAGTCAAGGGCCTGTACCTCGGTTGGAGGCTCGAGCTGGATCCCCGGCCCTGGTCAGGATGCGTGTGGGAGGCAACCGGTCGATGTGTATCTCTCACATCCATGTTTCTCTCTGTCTCTCCCCCTCCTTTCATTCTCTCTAAAAAAATCAATGGAAAAATATCCTCGGGCGAGGAGTAACAAAAACGAACAAACAAAAGGCAGAAAGTTTTGACTTTATTTACATGTTTAAATTCTCTAAAAGGTTTTCCCAGCAGTAAAATGATACAGCTTTATGAAAATTCTATGTTCAATAAGGAGAGCACAGTTTGCAACATAGAAAATCTCATGGACTGTACTCTTACCTCCGGTGACAATGACATTGGCTTTTATACAGTAGCAAAAAGTGTTCGCTCCTCTTGGCATGGAAAACTCTCTGACAGGCCTGGGAAACCCAAATCCGATGTCAACCTTCGGTTTTCCTGAATGAAGCTCATTCTAATTTAAGTAGATTATGTTCAATAGGGCTCATTTCTCAGTTGGTTATAAATCCATTTACCCACAGAAAATACTGTAAGTAATTATTAAATCCGCACTGACCCATAGATTTATTTACTCCATAATGTGGTGATATTAGCACAACACTTTGTATTGTTTCTACTGAAGAAAAAATTTCCAGCCCAGCAGGCATGGCTCAGTGGCTGAGCATCAACCTATGAACCAGGTGGTCATGGTTTGATTCCCAGTCAGGGCACATGCCTGGGTTGCAGGTTCAATCCCCAGTGTGGGGCGTGCACATTGTTCCAGGCGTTAAGTTGGGCACCTCATGTGAGTTAACTTAGGCAATACATACACATATACATATACTAGAGGCCCAGTGCACAAAATTCGTGCACTGGGCGGCGGGGCGGGGGGTAGGTCTCTCAGTCCAGCCTGCACCCCCTCCAATCTGGGACCCCTTAGGGGATGTCCGACTGCTGGTTTAGGCCCGATCCCACAACTGGCAGTCAGACATCCCTCTCACAATCTGGGACTGCTGGCTCCCAACCACTCGCCTGCCTGCCTGATCGATACCTAACTGCTCCCTTGCAGGCCAGATCACCCCTAACTGCCCTCCCCGCTGGCCATCTTGTGGTGGTCATCTTGTGACCACATGGGGGCAGCCATCTTATGCGAGGGTGTGACAGTCAATTGCATATTATCTCTTTATTATATATTACTTCAGAGAGAAAGGGAGAGGGAGAGAGAGAAACATCAATGATGGGAGAGAATCACTGACCAGCTGCCTCCTGCATGCCCCACACTGGGGATTGAGATTGAACCTGGGCATATGCCCTGACCAGGAATCCAACCGTGATCTCCTGGTTCATAGGTCGGTGCTCAATCACTGAGCCACTGCAGCCAGGAAACTTTTATTAGATGGTAAGGTAGGTATTCCCACTTAAAGATGAAAAGATTGAAGAAGAGCTAATGGCACTAGGACCGAAGCCAGTTCTGTCTGTCTTCACAGCAACCCTACTGAAGGGCATTGCATGTTTACCAATGTAATAATCTGCCTCTGAATTGGGTAATTGACAAAAAGTAACTGCTTGGGCCCTAGCCGGTTTGGCTCAGTGGATAGAGTGTCGGCCTGCAGACTGAAAGGTCCTGGGTTCGATTCCAATCAAGGGCACATCCCCAGGTTGCAGGCTTGATCCCCAGTGAGGGGCATGCAGGATCAATGATTCTCTCTCATCATTAATGTTTCTATCTCTCTCTCTCTCCCTCTCCCTTCCTCTCTGAAACCATTTTATTTATATACTAGAGGCCCGGTGTACAAAAATTTGTGCACTGGGGGGGAGGGGGGCCCCTCAGTCCGGCCTGTGCCCTCTCGCAGTCTGGGACCCCTCGGGAGATAACAACCTGCTGGCTTAGGCCTGCTCCCGGGTGGCAGAGGGCAGGCCCAATCCCTAGGTGCAGCCCCTGATCGGGCTCAGAGCAGGACCGATTGGGGAGTTGGGGCGCTGCACCCTGTCATGCACAGAGCAGGGTGGATGGGAAGTTGCAGTGCCACCCCAGTCACGCTCAGGGTAGGGCCGATCAGGGGGTTGGGGTGCTGCGCCTGTCACACTCAAGGCAGGGTCACAGGGGGTTTGGGGCTCCGTACCCTGTCGCGTACAGAGCAGGGTCGATCAGGGGGTTGGGGCGCTGCTCCCTGTCACTCACAGAGCAAGGCCCATCAGGGGGGTTGGGGCTCCATACCCTGTCACGCACAGAGTAGGGCAGATCAGGGGGTTGGGGCGCTGCACCCTGTCACACTGATCCCGGTGCCAGGAGGCCTCGCGGCTCCGCTGATCCCAGTGCTGGGAGGGCATATTACCCTTTTACTATATAGAATAGAGGCCTGGTGCACAGGTGGGGCCGGCTGGTTTGCCCTGAAGGGTGTCCTGGATCAGGGTGGGGGTCCCGCTTGGGTGCCTGGCCAGCCTGGGTGAGGGGCTGATGGCTGTTTGCAGCTGGTCACACCCCCTTCAGGGTGGGGGTCCCCACTGGGGTGCCTGGCCAGCCTGGATGAGGGGATGATGGCTGTTTGCAGCTGGTCACACCCCCTTCAGGGTGGGGGTCCCCACTGGGGTGCCTGGCCAGCCTGGATGAGAGGATGATGGCTGTTTGAAGCTGGTCACACCCCCTTCAGGTTGGGGGTCCCCACTGGGGTGCCTGGCCAGTCTGGGTGAGGGGCTGAGGGCTGTTTTCAGGCTGGCGGGTGACTGAAGCTCCCAACCGCTCCTTTTTTTCTTTTTTTTAATTCTGAGCCAGCTTTAGCTCTGAGGCTTGGCTCCAGCTCTGAGGCCTCTGCTGCTGAAAGCAGGTACCTGGTTTGTTTGGGTTCTATAATCGAAACACTGTTTCAACTCCAGCTCTGAGATCCCGGCTGGCTGAAAGCTGGTTACTGGGGTTTTGTTTAGCTTCTATATTTGTAACAATGTTTCAACCTGCAAGCTCAGAGGCTGGCAGCAGGAGGCGGGGAACGTTGGCTTCCTCCGTCACTGAAGCAAGCAAGCCTCATGTTTGCTTCAAGCTGCCTGGCTGCCGGCCGCCATCTTGGCTGGCAGTTAATTTGCATATCGCCCTGATTAGCCAATGGGAACGGTAGCGGAGGTACAGCTAATTACCATGTTTCTCTTTTATTAGATAGGATATATATATATATATATATATATATATATATATGTAAAAAATAAATAAATAACCGCCTGGTAGTTATTTGCACATTTCTGGAAAATGATCAAACTATGGAAGGGTGAACGTTTCAGCATATGTCTTGCAACAGGCCAACATGCATTCCATGACATAATTAATAGTAAGTGCTCACTTTGCTGATACAAAACTTCGTGAAATTATCAAACAAAATTGTAACCAGAATAAGTAATCATTTTTGAAATGGAAATGTTTTTGAGAGGAGTTTTCAGCTTTCTTGGGAGCCGTGCTAGCTCCCATTTAACAGCTGGCCAGTTATGGACTGGGCTACGTGGTTTCATCTGGCTCAGCTCAAGACTCATTATAGAAAACTACAGGAGCAGGAATATGTTGCACCTGGGGATGGAGTGGCCCCCCGCTCTCCTCCTATTGGGGTGATGGACACTCCAGTGGCAGTGAGCTTCCGGAAAGCAGGATGACACTGTAGCACTTGAGAACGCTCTTTTGCTTCCAGATTTAGAAGGAGAGGGGCCCAGGGAAGCAACTGAAAAGCCCAGCCAGTTGACTGACACCCTTGGGCTGAATGTATCATCAACCAAATCCCAGGAGACACGGTAAATACCAGGAAGCACAGCACTGGGCTCCAAGATGAACTCCTGACCATTGCAAAAGGGGTGCTTTTCAGAGCAAAACAGAAAGTGCTGGCTAGTTGGGGAAAACAACAACAACGCACCTTCTAGATCAGTGGTTCTCAACCTTCTGGCCCTTCAGTTCTTCATGTTGTGACCCAACCATAAAATTATTTTCCTTGCTACATCATAACTGTAACGTTGCTACTGTTATGAATCATAATGTAAATATCTGATATGCAGGATGGTCTTAGGCGACCCCTGTGAAAGGGTCGTTTGACCGCCAAAGGGGTCTTGACCCACAGGTTGAGAACCGCTGTAGAGAATCTCAGTGTTTACAACCACCAAGCACCAAATCTATGGGAAACTATGGACAGTGGGCATTGAAATTCTCCTCAGTACTACTACATAAATTAAAAATACATAACAGTAGAATGTATGTGTACACGAATTTCCAAGAATTGCACGGAAAGTGAGAGTTAACATTGGCTACCTACAGAACTTTAAAGAACACCACCATTTAACAGCAAATACAAAAAAAAAGGAACCACAAGGAAAATATAGTTATGGATATTAGTTATGGATATACCTGTCTTGATTTATTCCGATCGATTATAGCAACAAACAACAAATGAGCCAAACTGTTGCTAGGAGGACCCATCATTGGACAAATAATTTCAATTTTCTCCTAAAAATCTAAACTTGTCAAACGGATGGAATAATTAACGTTGATTTTTCTAACAACCAATTTGATAGCTCCAAGGCTGCCACGGGCTTATCAATTACAAAAAGCCCGAGGTGCACTCTGCCTCTGGGGAGCACACCCGAGCCTTTCCCTTCCCCCTCTTTTTCCCTCCAGGACATTACCTTTGCCTTCCTCCCTCCTAAGCTCCAGGGCCCTTCTTCTGCCTCTGTTGCTTGTTTCCTGAGCCCATGCAGCCCAATTGGCTCACTTCTTTCTAACTCTGTAACTCCCAAAATAAACTTCCTCTTATAATTTGGAAAAAAAAAAAAAAAAGCCTGAAAGTCACAGAATATTCATGTACATAAACTACTGTACTTACCCATTATCCTCAAGTCTCTTCAAGGATTCCAAAACTAACGAATGAACACTGTCTAAGGAGCAGGATCCAAAGCAATTTAGGGTTGAAATAAATTTAATTTTCATAACCCAGTCATTATGTAGCTTCCTTTTAACACTGGGAATTAAAAGGAAAAAAAAAGGGAGGGATTATGTTAGACACACAAACACATCATGTTGAGTGTCTATTTGTCATTTCAACTTGACTTTAATCAAAGTGCAACTCTGAATTGGAGTAAAGCCTGCATATATAATACCACTTTTAAATTTCATAACCTAAATCATTTAAAATGGAAAAATAAAAGATTATCATCACATTTTGAGCTATAAGTTCAGAATTTAAAAAATAATATAGAAGAATCTCAGTCCCATATTGGTACTATATTCTTTTTTTAAAAAAATATATTTTATTGATTTTTTTTTTTTACAGAGAGGAAGGGAGAGGGATAGAGAGTTAGAAATATCGATGAGAGAGAAACATCGATCAGCTGCCTCCTGCACGCCCCCTACTGGAGATGTGCCCGAAACCCAGGTACATGCCCTTGACCGGAATCGAACCTGGGACCCTTCAGTCCGCAGGCCGACGCTCTATCCACTGAGCCAAACCGGTCAGGGCGGTACTATATTCTTTATTGAAAAAATTCTGATCATCCAGATGAAGAGCTGTGTTTCATATTGTCTTCTATCTCATATGAGTCTATTCATTTTTATATTTTCCAATGGCTATTGATCTTTAAATCAATAATTCCCCTATTGATAGACACTGGATATTATACTATTAGAAATAACACTGTGGTGCTTGCTTCAGCAGCACATATACTGAAATTGGAATGATACAGAGAAGATTAGCATGGCCCCTGTACAAGGATGACATGCAAATTCGTGAAGCATTCCATATTTAAAAAAGAAAGGAAAAAAGAAAGAACACTGTGCCCAGCCAGCATGGCTCAGTGGTTGAGCGTCCACCTATGAACCAGGAGGTCACGGTTAAATTCCAGGTCAGGGGACATGCCCAGGTTGTCGGCTTGATCCCCAGTAGAAGGTATGCAGGAGGCAGCTAATTGATGATTCTCATCATTGATGTTTCTCTCTCTCTCTCCCTCTCCCTTCCTCTCTTTGAAATCAATAAAAACATAAACATATATATTTAAAAGAAATAACACTGTGATAGATATATATTTTAACACACGGGGACCCCAGATCCCAGTGCATACATGTTTATGAAGGCACTTGATGCATCTGCCCAAGTGATGGGATCCACAAAGGGATCCAGCTCATAGCCACCAGCACCAGTAGTGGGTGAGTCTGCCCATCTCATAGCATCTTCCTCATGTTTAATCTTTTCCAATTTTATAAGAGAGAAATTATATCTAATTTAAAGTGGCATTTCTTGGATGAATAGAGAGGACACATTCAGTACAATATTTGTTTCTCTGCTAATAAGAGAAATATATGACTTAGTGTGAAATCTTCAGAGACACGAGAGTTCTGAAGAAGACAATGAAAGTCACTCAGGACCTCATCAGTTGGAGATGACTGTCAGTAGCATTTTTGCCTGATGAGCATTTGGAAATGTGTCTTGACTATTTGTACCATGTGTGCATGTGTGTGAATTACCTGTTCATGACCTTTGTCCATTTTTTTCTCTGGGGGAATTATTTTTTAAATTGAAGTCTAAGAGCTAAGAAAGAATATTAACCTATCGTTTGTCATATTGCTTATACATATTTATCCAGTTTATTTACTTTACATAGGTTATCTCTTGAGGCCCACAGGTTTTATTTTGTGTTGAGTCAAACCTATCAAACTTTTTTCTTTGAATTTTAGAACCATTGCTCTTGTTTAGAATTTTCTTCAATATTTAAATGTTAGTAAATAGTTACACAGATCTTTTATAGCTTTCCATAATTTAATTATTATTATTTTTTAAAAATATATTTTATTGATTTTTTACAGAGAGGAAGGGCGAGGGATAGAGAGTTAGAAACATCGATGAGAGAGAAACATCGATCAGCTGCCTCCTGCACATCCCCTGCAGGAGATGATGTGCCCGCAACCCAGGTACATGCCCTTGACTGGAATCGAACCTGGGACCCTTCAGTCCACAGGCCGACACTCAATCCACTGAGCCAAACCGGTTAGGACATAATTGAATTTTTTATTTAACTCTTTAATTTATTTAAGTGCCTATAGATTTTAATTGTCAATAACACTTAGAATATGAATTTCAGTGGCTACTTTTCTGTTTTCCCTTAGTATTGTAAGTCCCTTGAGGTATGAGGCATTCCTCATTCAGTGTGATGTTTCAGATCTTTACCCTGTGGTCTGACACATCCTTTTGACTACATAAATATTTTTGTTCTTATTGTTGTTTTTGTTAACCCTTATCCGAGGATATTTTTCCATTTATTTATTTATTTTTTTAGGGAGAGTGGGAGAGAGAGGGAAAGACAGAGAGAATGTCGATTTGAGAGAAACACATTGATTGGTTGCCTCCTGCAGGAGCCCCCACCAGGGCCGGGGGCCAGGGAGGAGCCTGCAACCAAGGTATGTAACGTTGGCCAGAATCGAACCCGGGACCCTTTGGTCCGCAGGCTCTATCCACTGAGCCAAGCTGGCTAGGGCTTACTTAACTATATAAATACTTGAACAATGTCTATATTAAAACAACTGGACCACCTGTGTGATATACTGACCTTTTAAAGTCCTTGGAGTCTAAGACCTGATTTTGTAATTTTTTTTTGGTCTTTGTCTGCTTTAACCCAAAGTCGTCTGTGTTCACGGTGAACTTGTTCACAAACCCGCCATCGTCCCCCAGCAGGATGTCATCTCGGCAGAGCTGGTCGGACATGGGCACCGCACACACGCACAGGAGGCAGTGGTCCATCGGCTTTATGACGAAGTAGTTTTCCTGGGAACAGAGGAGCACTTTTCATAAGTTATTACATCGCTCCAAATATCTAAATATTATATTTAAATACTGTCCCTATTGTTTTAAAACATTTTTAAAATGGATTTCAGAGAAGAAGGGAGAGGGTGAGAGAGAGAAACATCAATGATGAGAAAGAGTCACTGATCAGCTGCCTCCTGCATGCCCCCTACTGGGTATCAAGCCCACAGCCCAGGCATGTGCCCTGACCAGGAATTGAACCGTGACCTCCTGGTTCATAGGTCGATTCTCAAACACTAAGCCACGCCAGCTGGGCTGTCTGTATTGTTTGATAAAAGTTTTACTTCTGGCCCTAGCCAGTTTGGCTCAGTGGATAGAACCTCAGCCTGTGGACTCAAGGATCCCAGGTTGGATTCTGGCCAAGGGCATATGCCTGGGTTGCGGGCTTGATCTCCAATCGGGGTGTGTGCAGGAGGCAGCCAATCAATGATGTCCTCATCATTGATGTTTCTAACTCTCTCTCCCTCTCCCTTCTTCTCTGAAATCAATAAAAATATATTTAAAAAAAAGTTTTACTTCTGATATGTCTTATTTTAGATCTTTTCACAGTGTTAAAGGAGCTTGAATGAAACATCAAGTTAACTAAATCACTGTGAGCCCCACAGTGCATTTGGGGCTGTTTTGTGGGGAAAAGGTGAGGTGCTTGCCTGTGGCTCAGGAATGGTGAGATTTTCTGATGTAATTCTGTGAATGTCCCTTTCTTGGGTTTGTAAGGAATATTAACAGGAATCATAAAAAGGTTCAGGTGTTAAAAGACCATTGACACAAAATTGGATGGCAAACAGGAAAGTCAAGAATCCAAGTCCCAGTTATTTCACCAGGAGTAATTAGGGGAAAAATAGCCTAACATCCAGGCTTATCCAGAATTAGTCACAAGCATTTGCCAATGCCACACTGGGTTCCCTAGGCTATAAAGCCATTGCTCTCCTGGAACTCAGTCTCTACCTAAAGCAGAAAACATACATGTTTTAAAAATTTTATTTGTTTTGTTCCCTTTAGAACAGCGGTTCTCAACCTGTGGGTCGCGACCCCTTTGGGGGTCGAATGACCCTTTCACAGGGGTCGCCTAAGACCATCGGAAAACACATATATAATTACATATTGTTTTTGTGATTAATCACTATGCTTTAATTATGTTCAATTTGTAACAATGAAAATACATTTTGCTTATCAGATATTTATATTACAATTCATAACAGTAGCAAAATTATAGTTATGAAGTAGCAACGAAAATAATTTATGGTTGGGGGTCACCACAACATGAGGAACTGTATTAAAGGGTCGCGGCATTAGGAAGGTTGAGAACCACTGCTTTAGAATGAGTGAGACTTGGACATTTTAAAAATATATACTTTTATTGATTTCAGAGAGGGAGGGAGATAGAGACAAACATCAAAGATGAGAGAGAATCAGTGATCGGCTGCACTCTGCCCTGATTGGGAATCCAACTATCTCCTGGTTCATAGGTCGACACAACCACTGAACCACATTGGCCGGGCTTTGCAGATTTTTTGCCAGAACGAGGCGTTTGATTTGAGCAATTTTCTTACCAAATGAAGTGGGACTGGAGAGAAAAGCCGTGAACTTGATCATATGAGCGTAGGCAAAAAGCTAATACTTGGGTTCAGAGAAGGGCGTCAAAGGCAGAAAGGAATCAGCCTCTATCAAAAGCAAAAACAAGCCCCGTGGGTGTGGCTCAGTGGCTGAGCGTAGGCCCGTGAAGCAGGAGGTCACGATTCCTGGTCAGGGCACATGCCAGGGTTGCGTTTTGGGCTCCATTCCCAGTGGGGGGTGTGCAGGAGGCAGCCAATCAATGCTTCTCTCTCATCATTGATGTTGCTATCTCTCTCTCCTTCTCCCTTCCTCCCTCTAAAAGCTATAAAAAAATATATTTAAAAAACAACAAACACAACTAATAACAAAACCCAATACCCCCACATTAAATACACATTAAGTCGAAAATATTAATAGTACTGTTCATGCTGAAACTGATTATTTAGTGAAATCCCCTCATTTTACATAAAAGGAAACTGATCTTCCATAGACAAAGGTGGTGCCCATATCCTCCCAGCACAAAAAAGACAATCTCATTTCTTTGAGTATTTCTCTCCATTCGGTACCTGGCTGCTCCCTTGAGCTTTATAATCCCACACAATGATGGTCCTTTCTGTCGTGGCAACAATTCGCTTCAGCTGAGTGAGGTAGTCACATCCTGTAATCCAGGAGGTATCCTGATAGGAAAGCACAGAATTGGGGGGCGGGGTGGGGGAGGCGGGGAGGTGTATGTTGTGCTTTGTCCTGTCAATGGCGATGGTTACTGACAAATAGGTTAGTTACCTGAAAAGCCCTGTTTTGCCCCCTTATTTGCAGAGGAGCCTCCCAAGGTCTCCTGTGCTGGTTTGAGGAGGGGGTGTCATCTTCTCCCCTCTCCCCTTCCCGGAGATTCTCAGCAGCAGCAGTGGGGGACAGCAGAGCTGGGGAACACCGGAGCTAGTGCCCCGCACAGGCCCGGAAGCACATAGCGGCTGGCAGAGCAGCCATCTGCGTGGCCTGTTCACGTAGGTGAGAACTTCACAGGGACACACATTGAGACCAGCTTAATCCAGGTCTCTGGCCCTGCAGCCATGCTTAAAAATTAAATAAAAAATATGTTTCTTGCCCGATCGGTGTGGCTCAGTGGTTGAGCATCAACTATGAGCCAGGAGGTCACTGTACCATTTCGGTCAAGGGCACGTGCCAGGGTTTTGGGCTTGATCCCCAATGTGGGGTGTGCAGGAGGCAGCCGATCCATGATTCTCTCTCATCATCGATGTTTCTATCTCTCTCTCCCTCTCCTTCTCCTTTCCTCTCTGAAATAAATAAAAATATATTTAGAGAGAGGGAGAAAGGCACAGAGGCCTGGAGAGAAACCGGACTCCCCTGCATGGCCTGGCACCTCCTTCGTAGTTCAGTGCACTGGGTGCCAGCAAGCAGGGGGCAAGCCAGGCACCCCCCATCTCCCATAAGGCACGCTGGGATGCCGGGAGCAAACTGCTCTAGCTTTACACCTGCCGCTGGGTTGCTTTCCAATGAGCAATATGGATGAAAGAAATTCCAACACTGCATGCGAATGTTTATGCTGTTTTCCAGTTTTTAAAAAAAATGTTTAAAATTACTTCTATTGGCTGTTTCTCACAGTGTGGGTTGTGTCCATTGTTTACATTCCCGAGTAGTGGGTGCTCCGAAGAACTCGGTGAAGCTTTAAATGGAAGCTTTGGGGAGTGATCAGTTTCCCATCAATTCTCCGCAACCCATTTAACTCCACCAAGCGGGACCTGCGTGCCCTTTGCTGTTGCCCAAGGCTCAGCTGTCGTGCATACACCTGAACGCACCTTCCATGAAAACATCTTATTCTCCGAGCCTGTTACTGAGTTCGTGATTAGTGATGGAGGCACCATCCTCCTAGGCCTGCATGTGACTTAAGTAGGAATTTGTAAAATGCACTTACGGTAACCGTGGTGCTGGTCTGCACTCGCATCTGTAAACAAAGGGAGAATTTGGAAGCCCCGCTGGCCTACAGTTACAGGCGAGAATGCTGAGGGGAACAGCCCGCTCTCTCCTCGGCTCAACCTGCTGGTCATTCCCTCTCCCACCGCTCTCCTCCGGCCCCTCCTCCCTCGAAGGGTCCAGCTCTGTGGAATCGCTCTGCTCTGTGTGTTGTCTTTAAGCCTGGTGACTGCTCTCAGGGTCTTACACTTTACTAGCTCCTTTTTAAAGACATCCTCACCCAAGGATATTATTATTATTTTTTAGAGCGGGTGGAGGGGAGTGAGGAGGGGTAGCTTGTATAAAGCTTACCTCTAGTTGGAAATGAACCAGAAATTGGAATTATTTTTTGATATTTTAAAAAATATATTTTGATTTGCTCTAACCAGTCTGACTCAGTGGATAGAGTGCCAGCCCACAGACTGAAGGGTCCTGGGTTTGCTTCTGGTCAAGGGCATGTACCTCGGTTGCAGGCTCTATCCTGGTTGGGGCATGTGCAGGAAGCAACCAATCAATGTGTCTCTGTCTCTCCTGCTCCCTTCCACTCTCTCTAAATTCAAGGGAAAAGTATTCTTGGTGAGGATTAACAACAACAACAACAACAACAACAACAACAACAAAAATAATCCTATATATAATAAAGGGCTAATATGCAAATTGTCCTCTCGACCAGGAGTTCTACCCAGAGTTCAACCAGGAGTTTGACCAGGGGTTGGGGCTGGCCCACCAACCACCCACAGTCCTTCCTCCCCCACCCCCCGCCAGCCCCTCCCCAGTCACCCCGCCCCCCAATCAGGGGTGGGGCTGGCCTGCCAACCGCTTGTAGCCCCTCCCCCTGGCCGGCCCAATTGGCCCCAATCGGGGTGGGCTGGCCGGACCCCACTTGTGCACGAATTTGTGCACCGGGCCTCCAGTGTGAGTGTGTGTAGTGTGAGTGTGTGTGTGTGTGTGTATAATTGATTTTAGAGAGAAAGGAAGGGAGAGGGAAAGAGAAACATTGATGTTAGAGTGAAACATCCATTACCTGCCTCTCGCAGGCCCCCACTGGAAACTGGGCCCAAAACCTGGGCGTATGCCCTGAGTGGAAATCGAACCTGTGACCTTTTGGTGCATGGGATGATACTCAACCAATTGAGACACACTGGCCAGGGCTTATTTTTTTATATTTAACACCAAACATTCACCTTATATTCTCATAATGAAATTCAATGTAGACTATGTCTCCATTAAAATATCTCCTATTTTAAAAATAGAAGTCCAATTTAGAAAAGAATGACATTGAGAGCAATGGATTACATTTACATGGGGATATATGTTCATAAAGTGCTTCCACATTCATTATCTTATTTGACCTTCGTGACATCCTCTGAGGGAGAGGGGACTGGTCTTATTGTCCTCATTATACAGATGTAAAGAAAAGACACGTGAAAACACATGTTGGCTCCTTAAGTTCCTACTTAACATCATAGCTAGCGAAATAGAGTGGCTAGAATTTGAGCCCCCCCTTTTTTTACTCCAAGGTTTTTGTTCAGACCTTTTATCATTTGGTAGGATTACGACAAAATCACTTGGCTTGTGAATGTCTCTGATGTTCTCTGAGACGTTATCCAGGGCCATCCTTTAGTTGTGCTGATGCCACCTGGTTCATAGGATAGCTGTGCCAGGAACAGTGCTAAATGCAGCTACTAAACTCTCAAAAAGTGCTCTGGGGTTCAGCAACCTCTTCATTTTACTCATATGTAGTTTTTTTTTTAATAACGCTGAAATGTGGTTTATGGTTTCTGCTGTACGCGATACATATGTATAGTGCATAGACAAAACAAAGAGAGGAAGGAAGGGAGGGAGGAAGGGAGGGAAGGAGGAAGGGAAAGAGAGAAGGAGGGAGCGAGGAAGGGAGGGAAGAATGGGAGGGAGAGAGAGGAAGGGAGGAAAGAAGGGAGGAAGGGAAGGAGAGAGGAGGAAGAAAGAGAGAGAGGGAGGAAGGGAGGGAGGGAGAGAGGGAGGGAAGGAGGAGTCCAAGGTTCAAATTACCTGGTTGTTAAAGACTGTTATCAATCCTCTCTGAGAAGCTGCTATCAGTAAATCCAACTGGGGGATCTTGACCATGCACTTAATCACGTCCCGTCTCCGACTCCCTGTCAACAGCACAATATTCAGTTCAACTCCCAGCAGTAAAGACCTCAAAAGTCACTTGTTAGGTTTGTTAAAGAAGAAAAGGAAACAACCAACTCATTTTCAACAGAGAAACTACTGTCCCCAAGAAGGTGGAAACTGGTGCTGGGGATATGTGAACGAGCCTCCCTCTTTCTGTGTCTAACACACAGATGTACGTGCGGTACAAGAACAGCTGCACACACAGTGCTGTGGGGGGACGGGAAGGGTGCTGGGAGGGGGTTGGGGTGAGAGGGGCCCACCATTAGGTCCTTTAGAGCAATGACAACATTTCAAACTCAACCGCAGGTACAGTTTCTTCTGATATTGCGTGTGACACCGTCACTTATAAAGTAAAGTAAGTGAAAAGGGAGTCTATGGAAACGTTATATGCCAATATTTGTTTTGGGGGAAATAGTAGCACCCATATTAACTTGGAAGGGAAAGTCATACGATCACCTGTAATTACGACTCGCTGTTTTCTAGACACAAGGAAAACCAAATTTTCTTCATTCATTTGGGAAGCGAGAGGATCTTCTTCAGAGGAGTAATACCCAAAGATCTACAATCCCAAACGACACATGTCAACACGAACACTATTTCAGAATCCACTGCGAAGTAACAGATTGGATGCTGTTGGATTTAAAGTCTTGGTTGAATGCCCAACACCTTGCCCAGCCGCTGGGGCTCAGTGGTTGGGAATCGACCAAGGAGCCAGGAGGTCAAAGTTCAATTCCCGGTCGGGATACATGCCCGGGTTGTGGGCTCGATCCCCCGTGTGGGGCGTGCAGGAGGCAGCCGATACATGATTCTCTCTCATCAGTGATGTTTCTCTCTCTCTCTCTTCCTCTCCCCTCCTCTCTGAAATTAATAAAAATATATTTTCTAAAAAAAGGTCAACTCCTTGCTTTGTATATTGGCAGAAGGTCCCCAGAGGAAGAGAAGGCAGTTTAATACATTCAACACACCGTGTGGTGATGGTGCATGGTCCTTAAGCAATCCCTGATTTTCCTTTTTGATTAAAGATGGATGGACCAGGCGGGTGTCCCTGCTCAGACTGGTAAGTTCTATTGGGAGCCGGCACTTTGATTTAATTATTTCTTGTAAAAAAAAAAAAAAAAAAGAAAGCCCTGGCCGGTTTGGCTCAGTAGATAGAGTGTCGGCCTGAGGACTGAAAGGTCCCAGGTTTGATTCCGGTCAAGGGCATGTACCTTGGTTTCGGGCACATCCCCAGGAGGGGGTGTGCAGGAGGCAGCTGAATCGATGTTTCTCTCTCATCAATGTTTCTAACTCTCTAGCCCTCTCCCTTCCTCTCTGTAAAAAATCAATAAAATATATTAAAGAAATAAAAAAGAAAGAAAAATACGACATGCATTTCATACTAGAAACATGAAGAGTGACTACCTCACACCAGTCTGTGGGCCCATCGGGGTTGTTGCAGAGTTTCCTGTAGAAGCATTTCACGTCTTGATTCTTCACTTCCATACCGAAGAGGTCCTGCACCTCCGCAAAGAACTTCTCATAGTTAATCATGTCTGCGTCATAAGAAAGGGCAAACACATGGGCATCAGATTCCAAGAGCTGCGGCCTCTTCTATTTGCTAATCTGCTCCGTTATCTCAGCCTACTAAAGCTCGATTCTTCTGCACTTTATTTATGTACTAGAGGCCCGGTGCACGAGATTCATGCACTGGTGTGGAGGGGGTGGTCCCTCAGCCCAGCCTGTACCCTCTCGCAGTCCGGGACCCCTGGTGGGATGTCTGACTGCCGGCTTAGGCCCAATCTCAGACATCTCTCTCATAGTCTGGGGCTCTCGCAGTTTGGGACACCTCGCTCCGTACTAACCACCTACGGTGGAGGCGGGAGAGGCTCCCAACACCGCTGCTGCACTCGCCAGCTGTGAGCCTGGATTCTGGCTGAGCAGTGCTCCCTCTGTGGGACTGCACTGACCACCAGGGGGCAGCTCCTTCATTGCACGTCTGCCCCCTGGTGGTCAGTGCGTGTCATAGTGACCAGTCATCCTGCTGTTCGGTCGATTTGAATGTTAGCCTTTTATTATATAGGATTTTTTTTAAATTAAAAAAATTTTTTTTTATTGATTTCAGAGAGGAAGGGAAAGGGAGAGAGAGAGAGAGAAGTAACATCATTGATGAGAGAGTATCACTGATCAAGCCCACAACTCGGGCATGTGCCCTTGACCGGAATCGAATCCGGGACTTTTCAGTCTGCAGGCCAACGCTCTGTCTACTGAGCCAAACCAACTAGGGCTCATCTGCACTTTAAAGGTTTTCTTTCCATTGGAAATAGAACTAAGGACTTGGCAAAAGATTATGTAGTCAGAAGAAAGTATTACTTTGGTGTCTAATACCTCCTCCATAGCTTATGTTGCAACTATTTTAGGAGTTTGGTTCAGGAATACAAAGATCAGAAATGAATCACAGTTTTCTTATTGTCACAGTTCATTCCTGGTCAGGGCATATGCCTGGGCTGTGGGCTTGATCTCCAGTATGGGGCCTGCAGGAGGCAGCCGATCAATGATTCTCTCTCATCATTGATGCTTCTATCTCTCTCTCCCTCTTCTTTCCTCTCTGAAATGAATAAAAAATGTATTTAAACAAAGAAACAACCAAAAATGTGGCCCAAGTTGGTTTGGCTCAGTGGATAGAGCATTGGCCCATGGGCTGAAGGGTCCTGGGTTCGATTCCAGTCAAGGGTCAAAGGCACATACCTCAGTTGCAGGCTCAATCCCCGGCCCTGGTCGAGGTGCATGCAAAAGGCAACCAATTTATGTGTCTCTCATATCGATGTTTCTCTCTGTCTCTCTCCCTCCCTTCCACACTCTCTAAAAAATCAATGGGAAAAATCCTCAGGTGAGGATTAACAAACAAACAAACAGTGAATGTAAGGCAGAATTAGCAGTCTAATGAAAGTCATGATTACATCTCTCCCTTCTCAATCTGTCAGGTCAGTCCCTCTGTCACAGAAGGTAGTTTGTCTAGTATTAGTTTGTCTAGTAGTACTTAGTCTTTATCAAATCTATACTTTATAAAATATATACTATCTACTATAATATCTGTATAAAACATATATTTATATATAATATCCTCTCTATATAGGTGTATATACATATACTATGTATACATATACTATAAAGGAATATATGTCTGTGTATATATATATATACACTCATGCGGATACTAGAAAGGAAGGAGATTTTTCAATACGGCTTTGTGATTGCAAGCTTTTACATGAGAACAAAGTTAGCTTGCTCACTGAGCCATATGCTAGAACAGTGATGGCGAGCCTATGACACGCATGTCAGAGGTGACATGTGAACTCATTTTTTTGGTTGATTTTTCTTTGTTAAATGGCATTTAAATACATAAAATAAATATCAAAAATATAAGTCTTTGTTTTACTATCAAAAAATTTCTATATGTGACACGGCACCAGAGTTAAGTTAGGGTTTTTCAAAATGCTGACATGCCGAGCTCAAAAGGTTCGCCATCACTGTGCTAGAAGAACCCTTAGATGTCATTTAATCCACCCCCTAATTTTATACTCGAGAAAATTAAGGTTCAGACAAGTGAAAAAAACAAACAAACAAAAAAAACTTCCCCAAGATCACTTAGCTTTCAGGACTGAGACAGAACGAGGAGTCAGGCCCCCTATTTGGTGTCTTTGCTATTAAGCTGTGTTGTTTCAAACATTTCCCAGTTCTAATCAACAGACTCCACTGGACCGCCCTGGAGTCACCGATCTTACCTTCTTTTTGGGTAAACAAGCCCGCTTTTTCATCCTTTTTCTGGGCCGCTGTACGTTCGACCAGCCTTTCGAACCCCTTCAGGGCTATCTTGAAACTGACCACCTGAAGTGCATTGTTGAGCCACTTCTCCTTCCCGGCATCCATGGGGATTCAGGGAAGTGTTTATTTCTGTACAGAGAAAAGAACGCAAATTTGCCAACTTGGATAACCTCCCAGTTGTTACGTTGCCTTCCTGCCGGCTCAGTTGCTCTAGGACGCATTCCTTTGACCTTACGATCCCATTCTGTGGGGAGGAGGAGTCTGAGAGGTCACCAGGATGTTGGCAGGGAGGAACCTGACTGAGGTCTAATGCCCGGCCCGTGGGCAAACCTTGCAGGGAGATCTGACTTCACAATGTGGCCAGTGTCCTTCACAGGGCACCCCCTGCATCATAATCTCCCTGTATGAGGAGGAGGCTGAGACTTGTTTTCCCACAAATGGACTGTGTGTGCGCGCACGTGTGCCTGCAGTTCCAGAGAGGGAAGAGGAATGGATAAGATCGAGAAGGGACACTGGCCTGCCTCCCTCCCTCCTACACGCGCTCTCAACCCTCTTGCCTTCTTCCTCGAGGCACCTTGGAGAGTAACATTCACTTTCATTCTTGCGGCTGCCCTGGATTGGAAAGCACGGGCTTCTAAAAAGGAAAATGGATTTCGGCATCTGCCATTTCTATCACAGATGGAGATATTTTTAGCAGTCAGAAAGAATAAAAATGCCTCGTATTCCTTTAGGCATTGTCCTTTAGTGAAAATAGAAAAGTGAGCCAGGCATGGGGAAGGGTGAGCTTCTGAATGGGAAGGAAGTTCTTCAAGGGGTTATTT